GTTTCCTGAGCGTCTTCATAGTGATCAGGGACGGGATTTCGAATCACGTACAATCAAGGAACTTTGTTCTTTACTTGGTATCCGTAAAGTCAGAACGAGCCCTTATCACCCTCGTGGCAACCCCGTTGAACGGTACAATCGTACATTACTCAGCATGTTGGGAACTTTACAAGCCACTGAGAAACATCACTGGCGCGATTTTGTAAAACCACTTACTCACTCGTACAATTGTACAAAAAATGACGTGACGGGATACTCTCCCTACGAGCTAATGTTCGGTAGGCAGCCTCGGTTGCCTATAGATATTGCCTTTGGGTTACCGCATTTGAACAAGCCCTCTATAACTCATTCTCAGTATGTTAAAGAACTGAAGAGTCATCTGGAACAGAGTTATGACATTGTCATAAAAAACTCTCAAAAAACAGCGAGGAAGAACAAAGAACGGTTCGACAGAAACATTCGTGAGTCCACACTAGGTGTGGGAGATCGTGTTTTAGTCCGAAATCTTCGCTTAAGAGAAAAGCATAAATTAGCAGACAAATGGGAGCAAACAGTGTATATAGTTCTCAAACAGATGGAAAACTTGCCAGTATACACTGTAAAACCAGAGAACGGAGAAGGACCCAACAGAACACTCCACAGAGATCTTTTACTGCCTTGTGGTTTTCTCTCTTCATTAGAAAATGAAACAGAACGCGTTACGAAACCTAGCAGACCTCATACAAGACAGAGTTCAGCCTTAGAACCTGACCCAGATGAGCCACTTGACGAAGAGGTAGATGAGTTTTATTACTCTGATCTTCCACAAGTGCTAAACCGACCATCCTATCAAATAGCGGTCACCTTGCCAAATAGGGAACTCATAGCAGATTCAGGACCGGTAAATAATATTCAACAACAAAACACACTATCCTTACACACAGGGGATCGCAAGGAACCAACCTTAGCTGGTAATGAAAATGCTGAATTGTCCTTACTTGACAAAGGCATCAACACCGAAACATTCTTACCTGACAGAATGAGTGAAACTGCGACATTCTTACCTGAAAGAGTGAAAGAAGCAGCAACATACTTACCTGAAAAAACGAAAAAAAACGAAGTATACTTACCTGACGTAGAAACGGGGGATGAAACTAACACAAACCTACCTCAATTGGATGGTGTCCTAAAGTCGCAGCAACGTGATGTAAGTTTTGAACCAATCATACACGATCAGACACATACATCTGAAAAGACCAAAGTCTTAGAGAATAGCTCATCAGCTCTGTCGGAAACAGAGAGCTCACTTCGTCCTGTCTCAGTTGAGAATCAAACCGAAACGGATGAGCATGATACTGTGCAACCAGAGATGTATGTCAGGAGATCTGAACGAAGTAGTCAGCCTCCTCAAAGACTAACTTACTCTCAATTGGGCAATCCACTAGTGACCGTAGTTAGGTCCCTTTTCCAAGGACTTAATAAAGCTTTTATTGACTCTCTTACTCAAGAAGTTGTGTACCCCGTAGAAACAATGCACAGGGACGTGCATGATATTTAATGGGGGAGGATGTAACCCAGAAGCTAGAACCTTAATGAGGTATTAACTAATTGGCTTACTAATATGATCCATCCTCAATTTAGATAAAATATAAAATATAAATTAAGGAAATTAACAATACTAATTAATAGATATCTAATTAACTAATAGATAATTTCATAATGAATTATTGGAAGGGTGAATAACTAAAATAACGAGTTTAATATTAAACATCGGTTAAAACAAGAATCTTGAACATCACTAACAGAAACAGAAGAGGAAAGCTGTATACTATTGGTCCAGGTGGGAATCTGAAATTTCATTGGCTGAGAGAAATAAGTCCCGCCTCCGCGAAATAAAACCGTGCGACGCAGCTGAGCGAGAGGAGAGACAAACGGCTGTGCAGCACGCAGATACAGAAAGCAAAGACTGAGCGGTTAGAGAGAGAGAGAGAGAGAAAAAAAAACAACGGTCGAGGCCGTGAAGAACCCTGATTTGGGTGCCGCATAGATAGAGGGAGAGGCGGACTTGACTCCTTCTAATAAGAGCTAGGAACTTGGAACCAACGCGGTGAGTAAAGAAAAAAGAAGAGAAAAAGCTAACGATGCAACTTAAAAAAAAAAAGGAAACTTAAATAGCTTATCAAATTAATTCCATTCTTATAGATTTGTGTGGAGACGACAGAGTGAACCACTCCTCTGTAGGAGGGAACCGTTGGAGCGCGTTGGTGAGTGAATGAGATTAAATTCAGTAAATTATTAAATTTAAAAAGCTAATTACAGCAACCGAGGTGACAGCAGTGGGCTGCTAGACGTTAGATCCCAGGAGTTAACATCTCAAACTACCAGTTAACGGTGGTAGGGCATATAGGAGTTAACGGCTCAAACCGCCAGTTAACGGCGGTACGGCATATGGGATTCCCAGGAGTTAACGGCTCAAACCACCAGTTAACGGCGGTACGGCATATGGGATTCCCAGGAGTTAACGGCTCAAACCACCAGTTAACGGCGGTACGGCATATGGGATTCCCAGGAGTTAACGGCTCAAACCACCAGTTAATGGTGGTACGGCCTAGATGTACAAGGTCCTCAGGGGCGTTATAGCTAACGCCATAGAATTAGCAATGCGTCCCTTAACCAAACATTTAATAATAAAAAAAATAGATAAATAAAAATAAATAAAAGCTAACTGATTAGGGAGGAATTATTTTACAAAGGTGGACCAAAGGACCAGAATTTATATTTTGTTGAATTTTGTTATAGAACATTTTATTTATTTATTTATTTATTTATTTATTTATTTATTTATTTATTTATTTATTGTGTTACAGATATACAAGGTGTCACAATGCTGTATAGAAACACAACTAAATGTATCCTTGTTGTCATGAATGTATTTCTTGTTGAATAGTGTAGAGTAATAGAATCTAACTGAGCCTATTGAGCTGAACAATTGTTGTCATATGTAATTATATTTCCAGAGCTACTGAGAATTATTTTAATAGACAATCAAATTGATGTTATGTTAGTTGAACTGTGAACCCAAACATGATTGGCTATGCCAATAGAGTGAAGCATTTGTTTAAGTCTGTAAGACTTTATGCTGTGATGTGACGAGAAGGGTCGATGCCAACTCGCTAACAGTCCTGTTGTTTACAGGCTGGGTTTTTTTTTTTCCTTGGGTTTGATCCCGACTCCTATGATCACTCACTTGGAACGAGAACTGGATTTCTTCCTGACGAGGGAGATGGCGAGCCTTAACCACTGAACGAACCAGGACATCTCAAGTAACTGAAGAGCAGACTGCTCTCTTCTGTGAACAATCTCAACGGTGTGGTAGGAAAAAATCGCACCACCGGACTCTGACTTTCACCCCAAGCGTGGGGATTTGACTTGACGCCGGCTGACTTGTGACTCATATGATCAAATCTCATACCGACCAATTTACTATTGTCGATTGTTTTCATCTGTTTTTGTGTGTTATCTTTATGTGTTATATTTCCCATTATTATTAAAATTTAGTATATAAACCGTTTCATGCTATACCCGTGACTCCAGTCATTCTTAAACAACCTCCAATTCTCCCCGAACCTAATTATTGGCCCATTTGTTTATTTTTTCTTTTAATTATCTTATTGTATCCTGTAATCCGGTTACATATTTCATAGGTTTTGTCACTCCTCTGTCTATGGAAGCCCATTCCCGCCACTCAGATAAAAAAATTAATTGTCTCATAATTGTGACTTAGCTTTCTCATAATAATGAGATACTATCTCATAATTATGAGATAGCAAGTCATAATGAGATACTATCTCATAATTATGAGATACTAAGTCATAATTAAGAGTTAGCTATCTCATAATTATGACTTAGCAATCTCATAATTATGAGAGACTATCTCATTATTATGACTTGCTATCTCATAATTATAGCTTTTCATTATTATGACTTAGCTATCTCATAATAGTGAGATACTATCTCATAATTATGAGATACTAAGTCATAATTAAGAGTTAGCTATCTCATAATTGTGACTTAGCTATCTCATAATAATGAGATACTATCTCATTATTATGACTCGCTATCTCATAATTATGACTTAGCTATCTCATAATTATGAGATACGATTTCATTATTATGACTTATTATCTCATTATTATGACTTAGTATCTCGTAATTATGAGATAGTATCTCATTATTATGAGATAGCTAAGTCATAATTATGAGATACTAAGTCATAATAATGAAATAGTATCTCATTATTATGAGATAGCTAAGTCATAATTATGAGATAATTTTTTTTATCTGAGTGGCTGGAATGGGCTTCCATATCTGCCAGAAACCTTGGTGTGATGTTTGTCTCTGCTTTCAAATTTGAGGAACAGATTAGGTGTTGTGATCAAAACAAGCTTTTTTTCCAGCTCACATTCTCAAAGTCCAATTTGAAACAAAAATTCATGCATTCATCATTTCTCACTTGGATTTGACAGTCTGTTGCTAAAGGTGCAGAACAGTTGCCTTACAGAAAGAAAGTCGCAGGTTATAATCCCAGCTGCAGCTTTTCCGCATGAGTTCTCCACCATACATGCATGGGATCTTTCCGGTTTGGTTAATGAGCGATATGTGATAAGTGAGGAAATTTCAATTATTTACATTAATTATCTGCCAATGTGACGAAAAGAGTGCAGATGGGGGTGGAGGTGGTGGTGGAGGGGAATGTGGGGTTGTGTTTTATAATGTCATGACTCGCTAATGGATGCTGGAGATGGGACCACTTTCCCGGACATTCCTTAAAGCTGAGTCCACCAATGTGACTGTCCTAATTACCATAGAAATGCTGATATGCACGCGGGGTAACGCCAAATAAAAACCTTATCTTTCATCTTTAATTTGACTTTTTATTATCGTACGCAGACAAGGTGGAAAGAATTATAATAGATGCAAAGATGAGGATGCTGAACCCTACATCATGACGCTGCAGTGACGTCAAAGGAGATCGTTTCCGTAGCAACTGCGGCCCGGTCCCATACCCACAGCGGCCGCTGTTCCACCGGTCCTAGGTGATCCTCGTCAGTGACCGGATACCCCCTCTGACTGGCGGCCGCTCGATAGACAGGGGCGACGCAGTATCGAGGCGGCGGGTCCGCAGTTCCATGCGGAGATGCTAAACATGTGGAAAGTCAGGGAGCTGGTGGATAAAGCGTGAGTACTCGGGGTGGGGGAGCGGCTGGAGCTATCGTACCTAACCGGGTAGAGAGCGGCGTCCAGCGGGTAGCGTCAGTAGCTTTAACGGCTAACAGAGGAGGTGGTAGGGGCCGTGATGTCACGGAGGTTGTTAGCTTTGGCTAGCGGCCAATTCTCTAGCTAGTGGTACAGGTTTTTAAATACGTGCGTACTGACTCTCGTGGTTGTTCTTTTCGTATAGTTTTATTAAACACGTGCCAGGAAAAAAAACTAAATGATAAAAATGGGTGCCACTTAGCTAATTAGGCTTCCTCTGTTAGCCCAGCCCAGTTCAGGTCTGTTCCGGAGTGCTGCTGCAGACACGCCTTGTCCCACCTTATTGATGCTCAGAACCACCTGCAGAGGTTATGCACCGACAAAAAGGCGTGTTGTTGTTAAAAATGTTAATGTGAACGGAGGGGTTAAATCCTTCTATCCGAGCAGCGAGTTTCCTGCTCTGCCTTCAGTACAGCCACCCGGAGCGGAGGCCCCATGGTGCTGAAGGCATGTTGGTCACAAACAACTCAACATGGTGGAGTCGGTCAGGATCAATTAACCTTCTCTTGTTTATTTATAAGAAAACAAGTTGATATGTTCAGTATTTCCCTCACAATTTTACCACTACTTCCTATCATTTGAATCTCCTTTTTATTAGGTTCTTTAGCTTTTTGCGTTGAAGCGCCTCCAATTTTGAGAATGTCAGTAGGAATTTATGAATAAAATGACACTGTACTGAGCTAGAATGGATGTGTGCCAGTGTCTTCTGTTTTTAATCAAGGTTTCATCATTTTTATTCTTGATTTTTAATACTTGTGTCTGAATAAATGTAGGCCAAATCTGGCTGTGGGATGCTTACATTTTGTTGGCTTGAGGCGTCAACAGGATTATGGAAGCAATACTTGAAAACATACATAGTATTGAAGTGTGTGCTTTTTTGATAAGTGATGATAAGTGACCCGCACTTGTATAGTGCCTTTCAGAGTCAGAAGACTCTTAAAGCGAATCGTTCATCCATTCACACACGTTCACATACTGATACAGTGTAGCCACAGCTGCCCTGCCTCGACCACCACCAGCAGGCAAGGTGGGTTAAGTGTCTTACCCAAGGACACCACAGAAGAATTCTCTGTCCGGAGCCCGGATCAAACCTGCAGCCTTTCGATTACTGGACAACCCGCTCAACTTCTTGAGCTACTGCTGCCCCAGTTTTATTCTAGCTTTGTGTATCTGAAATGAAGATCAAACCGCTCTGCAGTCTTATGTAATCCTCACTTCATGATCACTCGAAGCTGTAAGGAATCTACAAAACAAGCTAAGTTTTGAACGCAAACACGGTCACAGAACACTCAACCCTCCCTTCGAGTATCTTCCCTGAGATGCTTCCGCCGGAGCCGGAAACCCGCATCGTCAAAGGAAACAAGATGGTGCTAAACACCGTTCGCCATTTTAGGTCCAGACATCTTTTGTTGTCCGTGACTTCAAATGGTCTTTCTAATCCATTTACTTCTCACATAAAATATTTTGTAAACCTAAAAAGCAAGGCATTAGCTATTGTCCCTCTACATACAGTAATGCAGAGCTTCTCTTTGGGGGTGGCTTCTAAAATGACAACAAGATGTCAGGTGTGAAGGGCTAAAATGATATTCTGTCCGAAAGGATCGCTAAGGACATAAATGAGAATACACAGATAAGATTTAAAGAGCGAGTCTCGGGAAGCAGAATTGGGGTTTAAGATCAGCTGTTGGCTGTGCCTGACTGGGCGTGATGATTACACTTTTCATTATAGGGGCATTTCTTTTTTTCACAGATAAAGAGCCGTGCTCGTTATGTAGCTCTTTGCTTTTTACATCAGCACAGTCGGTTGTTGGGAGTTTGGCAGAGCAAAGAGACAGTGAGTCAGAAAAAGAAAGCAGCGTCTTACTGTGGAGGTAAATAGGACAGTAATCAAGAGATATCAAATGAAAGTGGAATAAAAAGGAGACAGAATATGACAGGAAATCGAAGATGCAGTTTGAGCTGCAGAACTTAAGCTTTTTTGCACCACACACACACACACTTGCAGGAAAAATAAAACAACAGGAAGCGTGCTGCTCAAATAGAGCAGGAAGCAGGTATACCTGCCCACACTATTCACCTCACTTTGATGTACCCACTTCCTCCTCTCCCATTTGTGCCTGAAAACCTGTTTTTCCCCACATCGATGTCTAATAACGCTGTCAGGACTAAAGCTTTCAGGAAGTGATTTATGAAGAGTGATTTTTTGCTTGCCAACAGCACCAATGTGGTCATGAACTACTCGGAGATCGAGTCAAAGGTCAGAGAAGCCACCAACGATGACCCCTGGGGACCCTCTGGACAGCTGATGGGAGAGATAGCGAAGTAGGTGCAACACACTCCTGGTTTAGATTCAGGCTTGTCATCTGTAATAAAGTAGCAGATACAGTCAATGGTGACACCATGTCTTTAAGATAGTGATCAGATGTGTGTGTTTGTGCTCAGAGCTACGTTTATGTACGAGCAGTTCCCAGAGGTGATGAACATGCTGTGGACCAGGATGCTGAAGGACAACAAGAAGAACTGGAGACGAGTCTACAAGGTGGGAACACCTTCTGGATGTAGCCAAAGAGGAGAGGGTTGGGTTTAAATGTGGAGGATAAAAATCCAAGTAGTTTCGTCACACCTACAAAGTAAAATAAGATTATTTTTCATGCCATAGCCAAGTAGATGCATGAATGAGTCGCTGAGCTGGATATTAAACCTTTTTTGAATCTCTCCCTTACAGGCCTTACTCCTGCTGGCTTATCTGATCAGAATCGGCTCTGAGCGAGTCGTAACCAGCGCCAGAGAACACATCTACGACCTGCGATCTCTAGAAAATTACCACTTCATTGGTCAGGCTTTACAATAAATAAACAACCCCCTCAACATTTGTTAAACTATTATTTTCCTGTCCGTAAATATAGGATCTGGTAGTGAATCTGACACGATGCTACCAGAAACCAGCTTTTCCTCAGACCAGATTGACAGTCTGGCTCCTCGTTCTGCTGCTTGACATTTTTGGGTGTGGGTGTGTTTGTGTGTGTGTGTTTACAGATGAGAACGGTAAGGACCAGGGCATCAATGTGCGCCAGAAAGTGAAGGAGATGGTGGAGTTCATTCAGGATGATGATCGACTCCGAGAAGAAAGGAAGAAGGCAAAAAAGAACAAGGATAAATATATCGGAGTCTCCTCTGACAGCATGGGTGGAGGAGGCGTGAGCTTTAAGAACTGTAAGTAGCTCAATGACTTCCTTTGATGGCCTGAGTGGATTAAAATGATAATACACTCTGCCCTTCATGTTTAGGCAAGCAATGAAATATATTCTAACGCATCCAAACAGATAATCGTGTTAGTATTGCTTAATGATTCATCTGGTTTTCCTAAAGTTGTCTGGGTTCAGTAGATGTGAGATAGATTTTATATTTCTGATTTTTATCCACCCAGCTAACGAATTGGATCGGAGCAAGTGGGATGAGGACTGGGATAAGAGCAAAGGAGCTTTCCCTTTCAGCGAGAAACTGGGAGAAATCAGCGATAAGATCGGGAGCACCATCGACGACACGCTCAACAAGTTCAGGAAGAAAGAGCGGGACGACTCACCTGACAGAATCAGGTAAGCGTTGAGTTCAGTTCAGTTTATTTACGTGGCACCAAATCTCTGCGAGGGTCGTCTCAATCATAAAGCAGTTCATTGTGCCAGTTATTTAAAAGTAGTTTGAATTATTTGTTTAATAGTCAGCTGTTATCTCGTGAGTGCTGATGCATCTGGTGTCCTTAGTGACAACGAGGAGGACCGAGCGTCAAGAAACGGTCGGCAGGAAACCGTTGAGTTCAAAGATGAAGAGGAAACGGTCACAACAAAGAGCATCCAGATCACACAAGCGACAGAAACCACAACCACCACCACGCGGAAACGCAGCGGGGCGGCGAGCAGCAAGACGCTGGACCTGGGAGCCGCAGCCCACTACACAGGAGAAAGGAGCCCAGAGGAAAAGGTATTCGTGCACTTCTCTTCTGTTGTGACGGCCTCGCTGTTTACACCCGTTTTATCACTCTTCAGTCATCAGGCAGCAAGCCTTCCAGCGGCGGACTGGCTGACTTGTTGGTGATTGACCCTTCATCCACTGACAGAGCTGTAGCAGGTATCGACAAGCATTCACTCTTTATTTATTTTTTGTTGAACCAGAGTGTTGTGCAGCATCTGGTAGAAATGTGTGTTTTTGTGTCCACCCTTCCAAGGAGGTGCTTCAGACTTCATTGCTGGCTTTGCTGACTTCTCACCTGCAGCTCCTGCCAGCCTCCCCACTTCCACAGGTACACTTCCTCTCTGTGGTTGTTCAAAGGGAAGCCTCGGTTCTGTTTGTAAATGAACATTGTCCTCTCACAATAATGCCTTCCACTGCTGTATGTTCATCAGCTGCTGCGCCCTCAAGTGGGAATGGAGACTTTGGGGACTGGAACTCCTTTTCTGGAAATCCACCTGCTTCGTCTAACCCTGGTCCATCTCAGCCTGCAGCTGACCTGCTTGGCAGCAGCCAGTCACCCACCACCCCATCCTCTAAAAACACAGCTGTTCCACCGTCGGCTGAGCTCTTGGACCTGATGGCTGGCGTTAACCACCAGCTGAACAGTCCACATGCAACACTCAGTGCATCTCAGAGTATGACCTTTTCTCTGGGAGGGATGATGTCAGGAGCATCTGTTGCTATGCCTACCATGCCTCATTCCTTCTCTCAGCAGGTATGCATCACAATCAAAGTTAATTCATTTTAAAAGGGTACATTTGTTCATATTCAGTCAAAAGAACAATGCAGTACATAAATATACTTTTTAACTCCATGCTTTTTGATGGAAATTATTTGATTTAGAGTCTGGGAGGAATGGTGTCCCAGCAGCCGTTGGGACAACAGCAGAAAGTTGGGGTCGGAGGTCAGGGATCATTGGGGTCAACGTGGTCCGACCCGTCTGTAAACATCAGCCTGGACTTTCTTTCAGCAGGCATCAACCCCACTAAGACCCCACCCACTCTCAACAATATCATCCAGCAACAAGGTATAGCGCTTCAGACCTGACAGAAGCAGTGTGTACGAATTTTACAGTGAAACGATCCCGAAACCTTCTAAAGCCACATTTTATTCTCAGACGGCTGTTTATAATCAGTGAGTTTGTGAGGTTGCCATGTTTCCGACTTTTGTCATTTGACAGAGGCAGGCAAAAGCTCCAGAGTAACCAAAACCAGTAAACATGAGCGACCCAGAAGTCATTTCTTGTACCTCTAAGAAGCCACGGCATTCATTTGTTTTACTCTAATATCTGGTAAAGCAGGCTAGAGGCTAATGTTGAGCTAACGGTGAATTGGAAGCAAATAGTTGGCTCCAAAATTATCTCAAGCTACTTTCTAAAGATCAGCGCTCTGGCACACAATCTGAGGCTTTTTTTTTACACGTCTACACAGGAGTGCCTCCCGTCCCCCTATTGGCTCAAAACTTTGGAGGACTGAACCTCACCTCACCTCCTCATGTGACACCAATCAGACCACCGACCATTCCTGTGATGGCGGGCAACGCCGTGACGATGGGGATCCCCGCCTCCTCCCTGGCTAGGGGCTTGCCACCGTCAATGACCACAGGTTTACAGGGTGGAATCCCCGTGGACCAAGGCATGATGGGAATGAACATGAGCATGAATATGGGCGTGGCGGCTCCAGGAATGATGAGTGGCATGGCAGGCATGGGGGTGCCAGGAGTAGGAATGGGCCTAACACACTCCATCACACCATCCATGGCGCCACCCAAACGAGATGCCTTCGCTAACTTGGGCAACTTTGGAAAATGATAAATGAGTGTGTGTGTGTGTGTGTGTGTGTGTGTGTGTGTGTGTGTGTGTGTGTGTGTGTGTGTGTGTGTGTGTGTGTGTGTGTGTGTGTGTGTGTGTGTGTGTGTGTGTGTGTGTGTGCGCGCCACAGGACTGCTGTACTTGGAAGGCAACCTTGCATGCTTCACTCTGTTGCAGCTCTTTTTTGTGAGCTGGCACCAGTGATTGCTCGCCGTCCCAGCGTCCCTCTGCTGCTCCTCACGCAGTGGTGATTAGATTTTTTACAAATTACCACGCAGAGGAACACAGAGGGGCTGTGAAGGTGTGACACATAACCTATAGTCATTATGTCCCTTTCAGAAAAACCTGTTTTTATACAAAAAAAAAAAAAACCTTTATTCAGCTTTTCCCTCATTGCGTCATAAATAATCCAATCAGTTAATCCGAAACTAAACAAACTGATTTTGTCGTCTTTATTTAGGTTTGTAGCCCAACATGTTTAACCTGATTCAGTCAGAATTTTTAAGCCATTTTAAAACATAAGAAGTGACACAGGGCAGGTGTTTTAAGGCTTTTATTCTGTTTGTTTCACTTCCTAAAAAGAATCAGTAAGGGCGTTGGATCTTTTCTACATATAAAACAGTCACGCAAACGTTTGTTGCTGTGATTACAGGATCATTAAGGTGAGTAAAGCAACCCAGACATGTGCAGCGTGATGCTCCAGACATGATATTCCAAGGTGTTCCAGGAAAGTAGTACGTGTATGAAAGTGTACTCTGGCCCTCCAGTAGAAGTAGAAGTACTTCCACTGGAGCCGCACGAGAGTGGGTGGCATTCAAACGAAGGGCAGAAACGATAATTCCTCGTTTCTCCGTGTCTGTCCCCCCCTTTTACATTTATTTAGCAAATTAAAAGGTTGATTATTGTGGAGCTCTTCCTGGGTTGTGTTTAATTTGTCATGCCTGATTATTATGCTATTTTGTGTTCTCACACCTGGGACCATGCAGCGTTTCTTTCCACACTGTGTGTTTTATGTTAACAGCACATGACTCAAAGCAGAAATATTGGTGTAAATCTTCAAAAAGTGTTTTTACAAGCAGACATTCCTCACTCTGATCATCTCATAAACCACATTTTGGGAGTGGGACCTGTCCTACATTTAACATAAGATACATTTCCTTTGTTTAAATGATGAATTTTAAGTCTAGCAGAGATCAATCCAAAAACGGTTTGTGTGAGAAGTGAGCGAATGGCGTTGTGTATCTTGGTTTGACGTGCAAACACAGCTTATCATTTTCTGAGGCACTGTCCTCCAAAAGACCAAATCTTTATTTTGTTACTCTCAGAAGGATAATTCCATAGACTTCCTTTAAATATTTTATTAGTTTACTTGTAAAGTCATGTTCATACAGGAGAATTACAGCTAATCGAATTTAGTTGACTTGAATAATGCTTTTCTTTTCCTTCAGTAGGACGTTTTGATTTGATTGTACTTGTTTTCTGTACTTCACTCAACATTAAATTAAGTTATAAACCTTAAATCCAGAGATTCCTCATTTGTTGACATTATTTGAAAAGAATAGCTCAATTTCAGCTGCACCCAGGCTTTCTGCTCCATCACTGAAGAAAGGGTTGCAAATGGAAAAATATATGGCCCCTTAAAGAACCTTCCTAAGAGTGACCAGTAGGGGGTGTGTCTGCAAGAATTTGGTGATGAGATGTAAATCACAAAACAGGAGAGATGACACATATATTGTACTAAACGCCAGATGGTATTTAAAATATGTAACACTGAATTGACTCAAGGCAAGACACCTCCAGAGTTTTACATCAGAATGAAGGCGTTAAAAGCTGCTGCCACCTAGCAGTCGGAGTTTGAATTGCACCACAAAAGTACAGAAAATAATTGCATGTAAATTCTCAATTAAATATAAATAAAATATAGATACACTGCTTTTACATATCAACTCAGTATTGTAAGGTGAAATATCACAATATATTGATATATTGCGATGTATCGATATTGTCTTACATTTTTAGACTTGCACACACGTGTTTAAAGATGGCTGCCTCGTGTAACTAGTTGATTTGAAGCGTTGTTTATATGTGTCCCCTGAAATTAACTTGACGCGTTTGCAAGCTGCAACATACAAGTTACCAGTAGGTGAGGTTGACAAAACGAAAGAGAAAAGCTCTCCATGGTCACTCCGTCTCTGGTTTTGAGGGTTTTTTTTACCATCTATTTTCTGTTTTGATCTCAAAATTAACCAGTAAATGATCTCTTCTGTTGACGCCATGTTTGTTTTGGTTGTACCCATTGACACCATGGACATACATACATTGATTGACACATACAAACCTAGAACTCTGTCTGGTCTGAGTTCCCCCTAGTGGAACAGTCTAGTACTACATGCAGTGCAGCAGCAAGGATGTGAACAAAGACAGCCAGCTGCCTGCCTGGACTTGAGGATGAAAAGCAAGTTTATTCCCAGCTTAAGTTGCCAACCTACCAAAATTACTCAAAGAGCTAAATGAAGAGTTCATGAGGCCACAAAGAAGCCAGAAGATTTAAAGCTCTGCTGGCTTTGTGTGGTTACGATTAGAGCTAATCAAAAAATATGAAAAGAACCGCTAAAGGTATAATATGTATCTTGATCTTCAAGACACACAACAGCAGAAGAAGCGCTATGAATACTTTTCGGATGCACTGTATTTGGATAATATTATATTTAGGGTTAAATACTGTCCGTATATACTGTAGACAGCTCTAACAAATGAACATTGGAAAGTTTCCACGTTTTTATTGTGAATAAAAACAGTTTGGAAATGTTTTCTTCTACTTGCATTTGTTATTATAAAATCTAGTTATTAATTATTACTCATTTTCTATTTTGCCCCGAACCAATTCAATATAATATGTTGCACATAACTTAAACTTGTTTAATCAAATCAATAAAATTTGTATCAAATTAAATCAGCAAATTTTTGGAAATTACTGTTTTTTTTTTGTGATATGGTGGCCACCTGGTAAAACTACATCCATTCTTACTAAATTAAATTAAGTTAGCAATAGGCAATATAAAATAAAAATATTCAATTAGAAATTGTTAACAGCATACATTTGTAATTTCTAATCAAACACTGCAGATATAGAACTTTTAGTTATTTGTTGGGCAGCAGTAGCTCAGGAGGTAGAGGGGGTTGTCCAGCATTTGGATGGTTGCAGATTCAATCCCGGCTCCAGACAGAGAATGTTGCTGTTGTGTCCTTGATTGCTGCTGACTCTGAAAGGTGCTATACAAGTGGGGGTCATTTATCATCATTTATTGTTTAGTTCAAAGATCAATAAATACCCAACTGCATCTAAAAAACACACATACATTGAATTAAAATATATAAAAGGTACACATTTTGTTTTAAAGGAAAAGCAATAATGTATTAGGATTTCACCATGAATGTATAAAACACTCAAATAAATAAAAGAATTTTTACAGTTTTTTTGTCTAAATATACGTTTAATTCAATTACTTGTAATCCATCATTTAACTTGATTGATTGCAACATACCTGATATATATATATATATATATATATATATATATATATATATATATATATATATATATATATATATATATATATATATATATATAATGGATAAAACCCAATCCTTTAGTATCTGGCTTACTAAGGAGGGGTGTTTACCTCTCTCTAGTGGACACGGGGTTACTACAGCCATCAAAAAGCTAAACAAGACAACTGATTAGCACGTCCTGTAAATTTCATCTATATAGAATATACCACTTACAATTTGCTATGGTTTTTAAATTAGCGTTAACTGCATGGTTCTTCAAGATAACGGGAAAGCCAGAACGTCTTGAGTAATACAAACTTAGAAAAAGTGCAGAGAAGATCTAATACTACATTTCAGTAGTGCAACAGTATGACTATGATAACTAAACAGTAAAGACATTTTCCTGCGTAAAACATTCAAATGTGCCTAATTCAAATAAATCTACATCACATTCAAGCTAATTTAAACTATTTATCAACAACCGGACTGAACAAAGACGTGTAAAAGAAATGAGACCCATAATAGCCAATGACTGATTTGCTGAAGTTACGCGAGAGGAGTATTATCCAATAGGTGCGAGCGTTGCTCAGACGGCATCGATGTTGACGTCAAAGATCAGCCAATGGGAAAAGGGCAAACCCTCTTAGGGGCGTTTCCAGGAAGAGATCAATTAACATTTTCCTGTAATGGCGGACCAGGCAGAGACCGATACTGTTGGGTTTAACGACAACAGGTGAATTTGTCGTTCAACGGGAACGTGAGATTATCGTTAAATTGATCACAATCTAAAATGTCATATGCATATGTAGTTCTGGCGGAATCTTCGTAATAATCAGCGGGTTTATTGGTGAATGTAGCCACGCCAGCTAACTAGCTTGTTGCTAGTTAGCCCATGTTGCAGGTCTCGTCCTGCTTGTAGCGGGCGGTAAACAGACATTTTTCTAGTATAAACGGAATTCTTATCTCCCAAGGCCCTGATCTTCTGTTTAGACAGTACACGTTTAAACAAATAATACCAAGCCTGTATGTGTTTGTAAACAGAAGCGCGGATCATTTTCTTTAGTCTTTTGAATGGTGTGTGTTTCTGTTAGTTTGGTTAGCATCAGACGACAAAATTTTGATTGTGTCTACGTGCACGGATTACTGGGCATGCCCTCAAAAAGGTTTTACACACACACAAGCATCTGTACTAACTTGACAGTTTAAACAAAAACGTAATTGCAAAATTGAATGCGTCAGAAGCTGTCCCCATGCTACACTTAACTTTTTAGATTGATAAATAATCATGTAGGGCTGCACGATATTAGGAAAACCTGCGATATTCGATAACAGTGCTTAATATTGTGATATCGATATTACTCGCGATAAATAAACAAATCCTAAAGTATGTAGTGTTGTCATCTGGCGTGTGACGTCTGCTCTGGGTTTAAAGCAAACAAAAACTAATGCATGAATTCCATTACAGCATAACATTTTTATTGCCAAAATATGCAGCTGCACCTGCTACTGTATTAGCAGCAAAACAACATCTGCATGCATGCAGTTTCTCAGTGACTTTAAAACATCACCTCCACCATAAAACTTTTTCTGATGCTCCAAATACAGAAAAACATTCCTTACCAGTGTTTTTTGAATAAATAAAAAAATCAGAAAATAAGTTTAAATGTTAAATAATAGTTAACATCACTTAAATGCAACAGGAAATTCTCTCATTGCTACTGAGCATTTTCTCCACTTATGTGGTTATGATATAAGACTGTTGCTGCAATTGGGACGTTAACTGTGCTGAGCCAAACTAGGAGAATATTAAGATTTTCTGAGGGAAAGAGAAAAACAATTGTCTACCTTTCAGAAGAGGAACTGGTAAAAAACTACATGGAAAATATGTGAAAACGTTTGTTTTTAACCCCAAATTGAACAAGTTTACCTAGATCTTAAAAAGCAACTCAGATGATGAAACTGCAATTATGATTCTGATAACAAGCTAACAAATTGAACTAGCTCCTCTTAAGATAACCGGCTAGCAGAGCTTCTGACTGACAGTTTATGTGCAGCAGCAAATCAACTATCCTGATTAACAAGGTTATAAAAGCTCATAAATGAAAAATCACTTTGATGTGTGGGGGAACTTTTCCAGGCCCACTTTAGCAGGGTGGGACTGGGAGGAGAGTGCTGTAGCCTTTTAGCTGGAAGCTAACCGGAGCCTGGGGCTAACATCACCACCCGGTGGAACACTAGCGACATGAAGGTGGGTTGGTTCACCGGCACATGTCGGAGTCAGCCCGGTAAAAATGATTAACGACACCGAGCGGACTCGCGTTCACGTTTGAAAGCAACGCTGATTCCAGAAACATCAGCACAAAGTGCGTTCGTTGCTCTGAGCCAGAAGGCGAACAAGGGAACGGCGCCGCTAACTCTGTTCGGGTGTTGCTTTCCAAAAGGGTCTACGTAGGGGGCGGGCGTATTACACGAACAAAACCATCTGATTGGCCGCATAACAGAAGGACTACATTTGGTCAAATAATACTTCCGCGTAAAAAACAGAGCTGGTTTACAAAAAGCTGATGTATGACACTGATGGAAATGTTTGAACCAAACATTTATTGCTGTTTTTGCCGTGTTTTGCGATGGGCCTATCGCACGTGTTATCGCGATGACGATAATTTTTCGATATATTGTGCAGCCCTATAATCATGTAATCACCACCGTGTATGTAATGCATTAGTATTGATTTTGCAACGGAATATTCTTATTACAGTTTGTGTTTTTCTTGGCTCTGGCTTGGCTTAAACAGCATTTTTGTAAGTAGAAAACACGAAACTTTGCGTTAAAGAACCTTTAAATTTAATGTAACGACTTTTCACATGACTACTTTGGCATTTTGTTGTTTTTTTTTCATCCTGTCTCTTGTTTACAAGTTTGAGTATCGTGCATTTCTTCTTTTATGACTTGTGCATAACTCTGCGTTGTTTTGTTAGGATAATGCAGCAGGCAGTGCGGTTTCGCAGCCCTGCCCCTGCCGCTGCACCCGCTCAGACCCCGGTGTTACGGGGACCTCCGCCCCTCCTCAGACCACCTCCACCACCGTTTGGAATGATGAGGGGACCCCCGCCAAGACCTCCATTCTCACGTCCACCCTTTGACCCCAACATGCCACCCATCCCACCACCAGGAGGCATGCCGCCACCCATCGGACCTCCTCACCTCCAGGTGCTTTTTAGCTTCAAGCAAACATGTTTATGTTTTTTTTTAGGAGTCACAATGTTGTCTAAAGCTAATAAGCTGGATTTGACATACAGTTCAGATAACAGTGGCTTATGGATAAATCAGAAAATGATCATTTTTAGCTTAATTGCTACATGTTTGCTTTTTTATGCAGGCTTACTACATAAAAAGCTAAGATTAATTTTATTTACCCATTCAGAATCTTGTTAACAGTATGGATTGAACATAGAAAAGAGGAAAACAAAATAAAAACAGATTTTTTTTAACGTATAGCTCTCATATTTGCTGTCTGCAAAGAAACAGACATAATTTAGCCATATAACTGCATTTTAGAGAGAAATCCGCCTAAATGTTTTACAATTATTTGATTTAGATTACAAAAGTGAAATGCTGTTTTTGTGTTTTGTTTTTGTTCTGCAGAGACCTCCGTTTCTCCCCCCTCCTATTGGAAACTTGCCGCCTCCTCCTGGGATGTTGTTTCCTCCTGGAATGCCCCCTGTCCCTTCATCTGGAAACCCCACTCTCAGTCCTGCTGAGGAGATCTGGGTCGAGAACAAGACACCGGACGGAAAGGTCAGATGGAAGTTTGGTTTATGCAGGTTTCTCTAGTGAGACTGATTATGTTTTTTTTTTTAATTTATGCAGTTTTTCCAGATTTTTTATGAAGACTAAATCTCAAGTTGTGTTTACAGACTAGATGACAAGTTCCTCTCGTTACCCTCACAGGCATATTACTATAACGCTCGGACCAGGGAGTCATCCTGGAGTAAACCAGAAGGTGTGAAGGTCATCCAGCAGTCTGAACTCAACCCTCTCCTGGTAGCGGGGCCTGCAGCTGCAGGCTCGGGGCCTAGTGTGGGTGTGACTGCAGCTGTCAGCTCCAGCAGCGGGAACACCACGGCCAGCACAGCCGGAGCAGCCTCTCCCACTCAAGCCCCATCCTCAACCCCATCCCACACGCTCACCTCCAGTCCTGACCCCATCACCACCGCTTCCCCCTCTGTGTCCATTGCAGGTAAAGCTGTGCATCAACGACCAACAGATCGTGCAAACAAAATCAGAAAGTAACCATTTCTCTTATTATTATTCAATTTCTGTCTTCTGCAGCCACCGTCGTAGCAGACCACCCTCCTGTTGCCACAGTTACATCCACTGTTGCTGTGTCGCCGGTCACCGTGGTGACCGTTTCCACGGTGCCGTCACCTGTCACAGCCGTTCAGACCGTGCCACTGCTGCCTGCAGCTTTGCCTCACAGTGTGGCCCAGCCTACTGCAGCCATACCTGCCTTCCCCCCCGTCATGGTGCCACCGTTCCGGGTGCCTTTACCCGGCATGCACATTCCTCTGCCAGGTGAGTGGAACTGTTGCACTGGAAGGATCGTTTTGCTGCTAAGGCTGCAGTTGGTTAGCTCAACCTTTAAGATTCAGGGACACATGGAACAAACTTTTGAGTGTTTTGTCTTGTTGCTGTGCGGCTCCTCGTAGCATCACCTCTGCTAAGTGTCAACATGTGCGGGTGGGGGAGTACTGTAGTCATTTTTTTGTGATGCTTATAGGAAAAATGTGTTTTTTAGTACATAAAGGGATCAGATTTACTGTAGCGCTACATAACGTTTTGTTGTCATTTAATAACGGGTGTGTAGTATCTTAGTGTCTGATTGGGACCACACACTCGTGCACACCATGGTAGCTGATGTCTGGTGTCCTGCTGTGTTCAACCACATGCTTGCTTGTCCGTTGTTCTTGCAGGTGTAGCAATGGTGCAGATAGTAGGTGCTCCCTGTGTAAAGGCAGGCCCCAGCGCCAACGGTAAACACCCAGCTGCTCTCCTCTCAGACCCACATTAGATGGCATGGTAGTGAATGGTGTCCACATGCATCGTTTTGTAAATGCGGGGGACGTTGAAACCGTGGCATGCTGTTGAATGCTGTGAAACATAATTCATTCGCTGTAAAGTGGTGAGTTTTCAGCCATTCCAGCAGACAGAAGCAGATGCATCTTAAATGTGATCACACACGCTTCATTTCTCATGATAACTTTGTTGTATTAGCTCTGGTTTTACCCAACCGTATCGTTGGAAACATACCGCAGAAGCTTTAGTAAAGGAAACAGATGCACTGACTCGATTTGCGCGTTTTCTTCAGAATGTGTCGTCACATGACTTGTTTTTATTTACTCTACTGCTTTAGTCAATAAATGGGGCAAATTTAGGTTTGTTAGGGACAAGCTAAGAGCAGTTAGCATTAGCCGCTATCGGTTTGTTGTGTGAGAATAGGGGGGCTACCTGTTGTGGTCATGTGCTTGTGGCATGGTAGTGGGGTGTGTGGTCGCCACTTGTATGTTTGTGTTCATGACTCGTGTCCATTGTTAGTTGCATTGTAAAGGTGTCGCTTCTTCCACAGATTCAGCTTTATCTCATTTGTTTTTGTGTCTTTTATCAAGGAATTTGTTTCTTTGATCAGTCAACCCCTAAATATCCTGTTTGTTCACTCTTATATACATGTTAGTCAGGAAAAGTGAGATATGGTTTTATCAGTCTGCGTCACTGTGGTTTTACGGAGAAGTTTGACTTTGAGCTTGCATTGAAAAAGCTGTAAGGTAAAGATTTGGCTCATTTTTATGGTTTATTACCACAGACTGTGCTTGCATTGGGGTTTGTTGTCATTTTTCACACGTGTGGATCATAAACATAAGAATATCAATAAATATGGCAGGCAAATCTATTTAAATTTGATATATAGTTAGTGTAGACCTTTGAGAGCAGCTCAGATGAAACGATAGCATAACTGACTGTCGTTTCCTCTCTGGTCTACAGGCATGCTCCCCGGCATGGGCCCGCCTTTAGTTTCTATGATGCACCCCCAGCTGACGCTTTCGGCAGCTCCTGCTTCCATGGCCGGATCTTTGCAGCTTCCCGAGTGGACGGAGTACAAAACGGCTGACGGGAAGACGTACTACTACAACAACCGGACGCTGGAATCCACCTGGGAGAAACCGCAGGCCCTGGTGGAGAAAGGTAGATGTAGACGTTCATTATTTATTTAACTTTTAACAAATAGTTTCTGATAAGTGTCATGAACTGGAATAACAAAAAAAGAAAGCTAATCAACATACACATCATGAGATGTTATATTTTATTACATGTTTGCCATGTTTGCCGTGATTGCCTTGGTAATTGTGACACCACTGTCCTGAATTTTTTGACCTCTTTCTCAGGAAAAGGTTGATTTGCTGCAGCTTTTATTTTTATTGCACATTTTTCCGTTTTCTAATCTCCCGCCAACTTTCAGTCTGATTTTTATCTTTGCCGTTCCTTCATGTTTAGTTGCTTCCATCACTGACTATGAAACTAGAAGCTCAAGTCTACCATAATCCCAGAAACAATTACAGATTCATAGTGAAGATTTTCCATTTCCATGGCTATAAATGAGCTGCAGATAAACGGCCAAAGGCACATAAAATCCCCTGTTTGTGACCGTTCTTCCTCTCTGTGCCCAGAAAAAGAAGCAGAGAGGGCCAAAGAGCGACTGACCCTGGAAGAGGCTGAAGCGATGGAAATGGAGGAAGAGGAGCACAAACTGGAAAACTCTAATATTGTTAAAGAGGTGGGAAACGAGACCGATAATGGACTCGTGTTGGATAAGCTTCGTTTATTATGCAGTAAAATCAAACTGCTACAGCCCAGCATGTAGATTCATTTGTGTAGAGGATAGTAAATAGACCCACGAACAGATGGATGATAGGATAGTTCAACGTTTGACTCAAGTCGTCGTAAGTTTTTTACTCGTTCTTTTGTCAAGGAGCCTAAAGAAGAAGAGATGACGGAGGAGGAGAAGGCAGCTCAGAAAGCCCGTCCTGTAGCCACCAACCCGATCCCTGGAACACCCTGGTAGACATCACACACACACACACACACACACACACACACACACACACACACACCCCTAATCTCTGTTCATGCATCTAATCCTCCCCGTTGTCCTTTCTTCTGCTCAGGTGTGTGGTGTGGACAGGAGACGACCGGGTTTTCTTCTACAACCCCACCACACGGCTTTCCATGTGGGATCGACCCGAAGAGCTGATTGGTCGAGCCGATGTGGATAAACACATTCAGGAACCGCCGCACAAAAGAGGCTTGGAGGACAGCAAGAAGATAGGTGGGGACTCACGTACTTTTGGACTTTAAACACAGCTCGTCTCATTTTCGATTTTATATAATGAAAGTGTGTGTGTGTGTGTGTGTGTGTGTGGTCAGGCGTCCTTAAAGAAGAGCCTGATATGTTCACCACTGCTGAAGATAATCAGGACGAGGAGCCGACCAAAGCCAAAAAGAGAAAGTAAGTAAATGTAACGCGGGTTCTTTTGTCTCAGTCGCTGGTTTATTTGAAAATCTCCGGCTACGTTGTGCTCTTTATCCTTTCATCCTAACAGGAAGGAGGAGGCGAAGGACACAGATTCGGAGAAAGACGCAGCGATGGAGGCAGAGCTCAGAGCTGCCAGAGAAAGAGCTGTAGTGCCTCTAGAGGCCAGGATGACCCAGTTCAGAGACATGTTGCTGGAGAGAGCGGTACACATTGCTGCATGTTCCGAGTGTTTTGTTTCTTATACACTCACCACCCTCACTTAAGATGCTTAAACTGGTACCTGATGATGGTTTTATGGTATAAAATCTTCCTTCTTCTAGGTGTCTGCATTCTCCACCTGGGACAAAGAGCTCCACAAGATTGTGTTTGACCCACGTTACCTTTTGCTCAATCCCAAAGAAAGAAAACAGGTTTAGCCTCTCTCCTTCTGTTCTCTCCTGGGTTTTCCGGCGCTTTGTGAGATTCTTTCATTTGTGACCGTGCGATGCTGTTTCCAGGTGTTTGATCAGTATGTGAAGACACGAGCAGAGGAAGAGAGGAAGGAGAAGAAGAACAAGCTGATGCAGGCCAAAGATGACTTCAGACGAATGATGGAGGACGCCCGGCTCACACCCAAGTAAACAAACTGGATGTTTATCATCATGGTTGTTTATCGTTTTATTGTTTAATTGTTTGAAACATCCGATATTCGGTTAGATGCACGTACAAAAATGCTAGTTACTGATTTTTTTTTTTACTTTTTCATGTCTTCAAGACCTTTTCTTCTCTTATTTCTCTTTAAAAAAAATTCAGAACAACATTTAGTGAGTTTGCTATGAAGCATGGCAGAGATCCACGATTTAAGAGCATAGAGAAGATGAAGGACAGAGAGGTCATCTTCATCGAATTCATGACCGCGCTGAGGAAGAGGGAGAAGGAGGACTCCAAATCCAGAGGAGAGAAGGTACCGACGCTGCCGCGTCATTCTCATCCAGCTGTTTTCATTTGGAAATGATTCATAATGGAGTTCTTTGTCCTGTTTCAGGTGAAACAAGACTTCTACGACCTCCTGAGCGAGCAGCACATAGAGGGAAGTCAGCGATGGAGCAAAGTGAAGGATAGAGTAGAGACGGATCCACGGTACAAGGCTGTAGAGAGTTCTGCACTCAGAGAAGAACTTTTTAAGCAGTTCTTGGAAAAACAAGCCAAGGTAGGATCTGATAAAAGGGCGAAGCCCTCGTCCTGCAATTCCACTGGCATGTATGCGGCGCGTAACATCAGCGAAGAGTAATACTCGGCTAGCTCCGCCGTCGTAGTCGACGGGTGTGTTTCCAGTGACGTGTCCCAGAAGCGTAGTGTCGAGTTGCTTCGGATCCCTACATTAATGTGCTACGCTTCCAGAACATGTCAAGCTCGGCAGCTCAGATTGGGCCGGACAGGAAGTTGCACACAAAAGCAGTGTGAAGCTTCCAGGAACTTTCAAAATAAAAGACAGATTAATTTCCTGTTGCTTTACTTGTACAAAAAAGTACATCATTACCTGTGACACCTCCAAGGCCAAAGTAAAAATAACGGGTTTGTGCTGCCATCTTTCTTCTGAACTGCCGAAATCACGCGTGAGCTCTGGTGATATAATGACCTGCATGGAACGCATTTGCTGCCAGTGCGCATCCGACATGCTTCCTGTAGGAGAGACACGCTGCTGAGCTAGCAGGAAACGCACGTCTGTTACGTTAAGCGCCGCTAACGCATCTGGTGGAAAGCCCGGGTTGATTTGACTAAAAAAAGCTGTTCTGTTACTCCTGGAACAATTTTGTAAAACCGTTTGTGTGTTCTGCTCTGCTACCAGTACCAAGTGCAAACTCAAAAAGACGACATGTATTTTCTCACAGAATGTGGACATTGACAAGGAGCGAGAGCTGGAGCGGCAGGCTCGTATCGAAGCCAGCCTCCGGGAGAGGGAGCGGGAGGTCCAGAAGGCCAGATCGGAACAAACCAAAGAGATCGACCGAGAAAGGGAGCAGCACAAGAGGGAGGAGGCCATCCAGAATTTCAAAGCTCTCATGTCCGATATGGTGAGATGCTCCTCGGTTTCTGTTGTTGCCTGGTGGAGGATTCTGTAGTCGCAACAAAAAGACCCAATCCACGTTTCTGTTGTCTCCTCAGGTACGTTCTTCAGATGCAGCGTGGTCAGATACTCGCCGCAACCTGCGGAAGGACCACCGCTGGGAGTCTGCCTCCCTTCTGGAGAGAGAGGAGAAGGAGAAGCTGTTTAATGAACACGTGGAAGCACTGGCCAAGAAGAAGAAGGAGCAGTTCAGACAGCTGCTGGATGAGACCATCACGGTGAGAAGTAAAACAAAAACATGTAAAAACATTTCAAAAGGCTGAGTGACTCGTTTAGTCAGCTTCAGTTCCTCACACATGCATGAGCTTGGTTATAGTTTATAAGTGTGTGTGTGTGTGTGTGTGTGTGTGTGTGTGCGCGCGTTATAGATCACTTTGACAACTACATGGAAGGAAGTGAAGAAGGTCATCAAGGACGACCCGCGATGTATTAAATTTTCCTCCAGTGACCGAGTAAGACTATTTTTGTAGGTCGTGAACTTTTCTAAGTAGAGTGAACCTTACCATGTAGCAACTCCTGTCATTTGGATGTGTTTGTTGTTTTTGTAGAAGAGGCAGCGAGAGTTTGAAGACTACATCAAGGACAAATACATCACCGCCAAGGCCGACTTCAGAACTCTACTAAAGGAGACTAAATTCATCACATACAGGTCTGTGCATCCATCAGGCGATTTGGAAAAGAAGTTGAACCCTTTTAAGATTGTGTTGTTGCCCCAAATGTATTATTCGAGCCGAGAAATGGTCCAAGTTGCATCCTGTTACTTTAAAACGTCTGTTTAAAAGACGAGAGGAAGTTTCCCTGTTACGGAGGTTGTTCTGATCACCTCTGACGTCTTGTTCGTCTTCCAGGTCAAGAAAGCTGATCCAGGAGTCAGAGCAGCATCTGAAAGATGTGGAGAAGATCCTTCAGAATGACAAACGCTATCTGGTTCTGGACTGTGTCCCAGAGGAACGCAGGAAGCTCATCATGTTCTACATTGAAGATTTGGACCGCCGTGGCCCGCCGCCTCCACCCACTGCCTCAGAGCCAACCCGACGCTCTACAAAGTGACCAACCTCAACAACTTCATGGCCAATGCCCCTCCCTGCCCTCCCTTTGGTCAGAGCATGATGTCTCCTCAGCACCCCCTGAACCCCAGCCTCCAGGCTGGCTTTACAGTGTTACTGCTGAGGGTTCACTTGGTTAGAGATGAACGGTTAAGGTCTCTGTCATGTCACCTTTTAGCCCTTCTTTTCAAGAAACGGCAGACAAGAGGTTTACCTGGTGGCCCATGACCTTTGACACATATTAGAGGGAGGCAAAGTGATGAGGCTGTTGTTTGAACAGTCACACAGATGTAAGATAGCTGATGTAAATGAAGATGTGTGGGTGTGTATGGTGCACGCACGTTTAAATATGTGCATTTGTTAAAGGCGTCCTTAAAGCCTTACAGCTCCACTGTGCCAGTCACTGTTTCTGATGGCTCAGTGTGAATGTTAGTTTCTGCTCAGTGGTTTATTCCAGCGTCGCTGCAGTTTTTCTGTTGAATGAAATAAAAGCATCTTCCACTGTTTTTCAATACGGTTTATTGTGTTGTCATTTGGCACAGTGATACATTTACCAGTTTATGTAAGCATTGCATTGACTGTAAAATGCACCACTAAATAATAAAATGCAAAAACGTACCGAGAGTATTCATACAAAGAAGCGTTTACTGTGCCTGCAGGGCAGGCAGATTTTTGAATAACGTGGTGTCGGCGGAAGTTATTGATCGTTCGTTTTAGGGCTACGCTCATTTTATACAGCTTCACTAAATAGAAGGACGAGGCTTCGCCTTAAAATGTACGGTTTGATAAGTGAAACTATGCATTCTGTATATAATTATGTTCAAGGTAACTGACAATGAGTAAAAAATACAATGGTCATACCTTGGTCTATGTACAGACTCCGCCTACACGGCTCATCGCTAAGTGCCCCGTGGTATAAAAAGTGTAGACCCCATTGAAATTGTTCTGCATCATCAAACCCATCAGCTAACCTTTAGAGCTTCATCTTGTTAAATTCACTTTTTGTTTGTTATTGTCGTCCGTTGAAACTTATCTATGTGCAGTTTTTAGTTATTTTTAAGCGTATGGAGAACTGGAGCTAACGGGAACCTAACGTAGCTAACCTCTTTAAGTAAAGGTAGTTGTAGCCGCCATGGGCGGCTTCCAGCTCTTGGTCTTCGCAGTTGTTGCAACAATAGTTTGGTCGGCTGCTGGAGAACCAGAGGCATTCCATGTTGATGGAGCTCCGCCCTCAAAAATTGGTAAAATGAGTTGCACGTTTATTTAAAAACACATGAAAGCAAAGAAGCTAAATCAAGCTAATGCTATCGAGCAAGATGCGGCGTTCAGGGTCTCGTTATTTCGCTTTGTTTAGCAGAAACTGCATTCCTGCTAGATGTCGGGGTGTTTCTATCTACTCCTTGGAAAGGACAAATTTTGTAGAGATTATTAGTTTTTTTTAATCAATTTGTGTTAGTTAAATTACTAGGAAGGTTGAAGGTGATAGTTTATTCTCACTGGCAGTGGCGACCCCAGAAATTTTTGATGGGGGCCAGTGACAATTTTGGGATCCCTCCGATTTGGTCCCAGTGGTAACTCTAGGAGAGTTTAGCTTGTAAATCTTTAAAACAAACACATTTACCCCACAAGCTTTTCAGTGAAAATACAAAATTAAATAAAAAATGTAAATGGTGGCATACATGCAATTTCTATTAAAATTTTATCTAGATTAGTTAATGGCTTTAAAATGTATGTCTTGTATGATTTAAAAAGATGAGTGTATGTTTTGTAGGAATATTAATGTAATTTATTAAGTGTGGTGGTCAAAAATATTCCAGGCCACCCCTTGGGCTCACCACTACACACTGATTAATTCTAAATCTATTCAAAATACTTTTTTTTTACTGACCAGCTGATTTCAGTATATTTTCATGTTTTATTCTTTTTTTGTTTGTATGTTTTTGAAATAACTGGAAAATGTATTCATAATATGTGTGAGGTAGCAGAGCTGTTTGTACTAATAGGATTTAGTTAAAATATAACCTTTGTATTGCACAAATATAAATAGGTAATAAAACATTTGTTCTGGAAGCTTTAAAAAACAGCATTGTCTAAAAGTAGAAATTTTGATATTATCTTATTCTGAGTTATTCTCAAAAATAAAATTTAATCAATAAAACTGATGCAATTTAAATCTTGGATACAGATTTAAAAGATAAGAGATTCTTCTCAAATTTTCTTCTTTGTTTTTCAGCGGTGGTTGGAGCAGGGATAGGAGGCAGCGCCACGGCCCATTTCCTCCGACAGCACTTTGGGCCAGAGGTGCAGGTGGACGTGTTTGAGAAGGGTGAGGTTGGAGGCCGTCTCGCCACCGTCACTGTCAATAACAATGACTACGAGTCTGGAGGGTCGATTATACACTCCCTGAATCTCCACATGCAGGAGTTTGTCAAACAGTTAGGTGAGTAGGTACACTGTAAAAACAGAGCTTTTAATAACCTTGTGTAACCTTGTGAGCTTTTGATAGTTTTCCTGTTCTTTTTGTTTTTGTTCAAAACACTAGTCCAGTATTCCTGTTGCACCGATTCATTGTCATATTAGATTTCACCCTTTGGGTTTTCATGCTGCTGTATTGGTTTGTGTTCACTCCTTTAGGCCTTAAGCATCGCCGTACAGTGGCAGGAAAGACTGCTGTTTATAATGGAGAGGAGGTGATTTTGGAAGAGACGGATTGGTATTTGTTAGACTTGTTCCGCCTGTGGTGGCGCTATGGCATCAGCTTCATTCGGCTTCAAATGTGGGTGGAGGAAATTATGGAGAAATTCATGAGGTGAATATTTAATACACACTGTTTTTTGTTTTATTCTCAGTAGCTATTTGTTGGGTTAATAATGAAACGTGTTTGCTTTTTAAAAATGTATGGAAATGTAGATTTTTGTTGAATAAAAGCAGTATAATTATTAACACTATCATCAAAACTAATATCAAGGATTGGGATTTTTGGTTTATTTTTCTGTTGGAAGAGATTTTTCCCAGCTCCATACGGGAATGAGGAACAGAAAATGTTCTAAATCTGACCTCCGTTTAGTAAAGCCGGGCGGACACTGTGCGACTTTTTCACTTTTTTTGAGCCGATTTTCCACTCGTGCGAGAATCCACAAGATCGGGGCGAGTTTTGCGCTGAGCGTCATGTAGTGTACAGGGGGTTATGAGAGGCGATTAACACCATGTGACCAGCTACCGATCAGCAATGGTGAGCTCGCATGGACTTCTGGAGTGTTTGATATTTAGCTTGTTCCTCATGAGGGTTGAAGCGGCGCAGCGAGCGGCTGCAACCCAAAAAGTACCAGAACCGCTCACGGCGCATGCGCAATCATGCATCAACACCGCCCACCCGCCATTTCCCTAATAACACACGTTGTTCGTTTTTATTTCTAAACGTTTTTTTACACACCGTGACAAGGATTGTCAAGGAAGCGTGTTTGTCGTGTTCATGTCAAATTAAACTGATCACAAAACACAGATTTACTTTCTTTATTTTGTTTTACTCATCCAACCCCCATAAATCCCTGTGTGTCCTCCTGCAGCACTCCCGAAGGACAACAGGCAAAACAAGACCAAAAAGTCTGACGTGTTGTGTTAAAACTCCTATTTTTAGCATGTTTTTTTAGGGCCGACGTGTTGCTACCAGACGTACAGTGTGAGCAGTCAGGTCGCATCCGAGAACTGGGTCGTACAGGCTGAGCACATGACTCGTGAGATCTGCCCTGCGAGGAAGTCGTACAGTTTGAGCTGAAGCTGAGTGCTACGTGTGGAAAAGGTCGCACAGTGTCCGCCCAGCTTAACTGACTATAATCTGTGTGTGCATTATAGGATCTATAAGTACCAGGCCCACGGCTACGCCTTCAGCTCAGTGGAGGAGCTGCTGGACTCTCTGGGAGGCAGTGGCTTCATCAACATGACCAGGAGGCCACTTTCAGATTCGCTGCTGGAGCTGGGCGTGTCGCAGCGCTTCATCGATGAGGTCATCGCACCTGTCATGAGGGTCAACTATGGACAGAATGTCAGCATCCCTGCTTTTGTAGGTCAGCTGACTATGAGGAAATGGGTGGTAGAGTTTGGGAAAGTGGCAGGAAAATGACAGATTAGTTAAGAATTTAGGGCAGGATCGTGTGCGATCCTGGGGATGTAGGTCAGATTGGAAAAGAGTGGAAAAATTCCAGGAAACAAGGATAGGAGGAGGTGGAAGTTGAGAATACTAGAGGAGAGTGAGATGAGAGGGGGGCAGGAAAATGTGTGAGCAGCTGATAATTGGTTTTTTTTGTGTGTGTGTGTGTGTGTGTGTGTGTGTGTGTGTGTTTGTTTGTTTGTTTTTCAGGCGCCGTTTCTTTAGCAGGAGCCCAGAACAACCTGTGGTCAGTGGAAGGAGGCAACAAGCTTGTGTGTTCTGGTTTATTGAAGATGGCCAACGCTAATCTACTGAAGGCAGAAGTTCGATCCATCTCCCCCATCTCCTCAGGTACTCCACCTCATCCTTTCCCAGAGATGCACCCTCACTCTCATCTCAGCTTAGAGGGCCGATAAACAATAATTCTGCAGTGAAATGATGTCTCAGTCATGGAGGAAGGGAGGTTACACTGAAGCAGATTCCTTCTCAGCCGGCTGGGTGGAGGCCAGTTTTTCTCCTTTTAAAAAGGCCGAAGAGGGACGTAGTCTTTGTTTACAATCCGTCCTGTCTCCATACTTCCTGGATCCATAGCCAATCATAAGTGAGCCTCTGGCGTTCCCAAGTCTGTGCCGGCTTTGCCAAGTATCTTTGCATCATAACAGTTTTTTATTGTTTTATCCTCCAGGCGAGGCTCTCCAGTACCAGCTGAACTTCACCACGGCAACAGGAACGGGATCGGAACTGTATGACATCGTCGTGTTGGCGACGCCTCTCCAGGACGGTGTCGGTCCTGGACTCCAGTTCCAAGGTTTCACGCCTCCCTCCAAACAGATGCCCGGCGATTATCACAGCACAGTGGCAACGATTGTCCACGGTTACCTCAACACCTCCATCTTCGGCTACCCGGATCCCCGCCTGTTCCCCTTTGCCAGCGTCCTGACAACCGAGACGCCGGGGCTGTTTTTCAACAGCGTGGCCAGCGTCTGCCCCGTCAACATCTCAGCGGGATTTCGCCGCAAGCAGCCGCAAGAGGCTGGAATCTACAAAGTGTTTTCCTCTCAACCGCTGGAAAAGTCACAGCTCAAAACACTCTTCAGGTATGTCACATGTGGTGATAAAACAACACACCTGACCAAGAGAGAGATTTAGTGAAACCTTATTTTCTGCTTTATCACGCCTGAATTGTAGGTCGTACTATTCGGTGCAGGTGACCGAGTGGCAGGCTTATCCCGACTACGGCAGCAGCCAGGGCCTGCCTCCGGTGGAGCTGCACCCTAATCTTTATTACCTTAATGGCATCGAGTGGGCTGGCAGCGCCATGGAGATGAGCTCAGTGGCTGCTAAGAACATCGCCCTGCTGGCGTACCACCGCTGGAACAAACAAACAGACATGGTGGATCAGAGCGATTTGATGCACAGGATCAAGACGGAGCTCTGATGAGTCTAGTCACTGGTTCATCTCTAGAGTTTAATCCAACCTGCACCCTGTCCTCTGATTATTAATGTGAAGATTTATGATTGACTCGGTTTGCTGTCAGATTTCAGTGTGACGGTTTATAAGCTAATGAGATAGCTGTGACTTTACAGTGGTAGCCACTGGTGTTAGGCTTTATCGCCCTTTTCATCAGACTTTTATCTCTTCTTCCTGCTGCTTTTGTTGCATAATCCAGCGGAAAGAATTTTTTTCAGGGAATGGAGCCAGCCAGCATTCAGTCTGAACAGAACAAAACAAAACAGGACAGATCTGCTGCTGCTGAAGATTTTTTTCCCTCTTGAGCATAAAGGCGTCATTCAGATCAGACACTGCTAATAAGGACTGAAACTGAGTTATGAAAGTTTTTGTCTTTTGCTGTTTTGTTTATTGTTGTTGAGATGGTGGAAAAAGGTTGTTGTCTTTTTAAGACGTGTATTGTTTTGTTTTTTCAGGAGTTTTGAGCTGTGGTGGAAGAGTTTATTATGAATGTAATTTTTTGTGAAACACACTGAAATATTCCAGATCAGTCCATTCCAGTCATCTCATGTGACCAACAACAAGTGCGTGTGTTGTGTATTAGCCTGCACAGAAACATTCTTCTTTTGTGTCTTTTAAAGGTGTGGATCATTGAAAAATCATTGATTGTTTTTTTTATTATTTTCAGTCACTCGTTTTTCATGCAGGCTGGACATGAAACTAGTCTCCTACACCTACCTCCTGCGTTATCTTCTGATAGAAAATAGACGGTGAAATGTTAGGTTTAGAAAAGCCTGACAGATCGATGTCACACTGTCGCTTAACATTCGTGGACTCACCCATCCTGACTCACGATGGGGAAGGCTGTTGTAGGTTTAGCGTTCAGGAGTCACCAGAGAACGTTTCTGATAGTAGAAGCTAACCATTAGCATTAGCAACTACACCACACTCAGAACTCCTTCAGGCTTGTGTTATTTGTGGAGTTAAAAATCAGCGTTGCAAAGCAGTCAGTAGTAGCCGTGTTGCAGTTGGCCAATCAGAGGAGAAATGTCCAAATAACAGGAAGTAAGAGTCCAAATCCTGCCGTCAGAAGCTTTCCTCTGATGTGACATTGTGCTGCTTTCTGAAACAAGTAACCTGGCAAGCTAGACTAAATAAATATATTTTTTAGTCTGGCAGCGCTCCATTGATGGCTCTCGGCCGTGGGGCGGGTTCTACCATTGCCTTTCAAACGATGGCCGCATGCTACCGGACAATGAACAAGGTGACATACTCACTGCAATAGATTTTGGTAAAAGGGGCAGTCTACAATTGAAGGTGAAAATACACCCTTTTTTCTAAAGAAAGGACTTTAATACATCTATCTGCTCCTGATTCTAATAAAGCCCCAATTCCAAATAGGCCCAATCCCAATACTTGCATTTGCACCCTTGCGCCCTTCAGTTGCGCGGTTCCGGCCAGGGGTGCTAGTGCATAGGGTGTCCCGATTCTCAAGTGCGGAAGTTGACCACGCCCCCATTGCACCCTTAATCTGCACTTCACCCAAGTCTGCAGTGATGCGCACCTCGGGCAACGGAACTACCCACAAGTCATTGCTGCGGGAGGAAAGGCTCAAGTTCCTTTTCTGAAAATATGTATTTTTTAATAAAATAATTTTAGTATGAATAATTGATGCTCTGAATGTTTTAGACAAAGCAGCAATGAAGTTAAATTTACTTCAAATAATTGCTTTATTGTTAGTTTGAAAGTTGTTAATAAAGGTTTTTGAAAAAAGTTTCACAGCGACCAGCATCCCGGCATGCGATGCGATCGATGATGCAATGCTCCTCATCCCAATTCGGCAGTTATTTGGACACTTGTGTACTATGCACTCGAACCCTACAGCGCACTTTCTCCAAGTGCACTTTGCTGAAGACCGCAGAGTGCAGTGCAAGTATTGGGATTGGGCCATAGTCCAAAATTGATGTAAAAGTTGTTTCAAACTAGCTGTCGCCATCTTGTTCCACTCTGTTGCATCATCCTACCCACCAGACGAATAGAGGGCTCGGGGCCCCGATTGGCCCACAAAGTGAATAAAGCGCTATGATTGGTCAACAAAGCACTTAAGAGTGCTGTGATTGGCCCACCATTGTGGACCAAGCTCTATAGGATTGAAACCCCTATAGAGAGCTGTGATTGGCCAGCCAGAATGCTGCTAGGGGCTGCGGAGGTTCCACTGGAGCGTTCCTAGACTTTGCAAAGCATGAATTTGGTCTCGTTCACTATTGGCTATGAAACAAGCCCGTCTGCGTTACTTTTTTCTGTTGATCATAGCTTCTTTAAAAATTATCTTATTACATTAACGAGGAGAGAGTGAAATGTTTGCTCCCCAAAACTGAGATGTGGCTGTTTTCTAAATGTTTCTCGTGCGTTGAAAGAAATCTTCCAGATGACTTGTGTAAAAAAAAAAAAAAACTGGGCTTCAGTGTCTCATGTAAGGAAGAAACTCTGATAGAATGAAACCCACTTGCAGATAAACAGCACCATGTCTAATAAGCTCTGTCTGCTCATCGCTGCTTTCATAGCAGCAAGAAAACATCACTGCTGAAAATAGAATCAAGGGGGTTTGTGAGCTCCTCCAGGAGTCAAGCATGAGACTCATTTTGGTTTGATATGTTTTAAATGCATTTCCACTTCATTATTCTGATTGATATATACTCTGTTAAGGCAAATGGAATCAGTAAAGCACACTTCTAATGAGAATAAAGGTGTTAAAATCACGGAAAGTGTCATACATACCTTGTTAACGTTCACATGATAATTCAAATGTGTAGTCTTGTAAATGTGTTATGCATAAAATGACAATGACACAATTAGTTACACTATACTTTTAAGTCAGATATTTTCTGCTTTCATTTCAATTTCCACATTTTGACCTTAAGGACAACCATATAGTACAGGATTAGTCATGTATATTGAACTTGTTGCACTAAATTTACCAAAAACACACAAAAATATTAAACATGGCAATGTTGGAACAAACATTCTTCATATTTTTCTCTAAAGTGAACAGAGAGCTGTTTATCAATGTGAACATTAAAGAGTTAACACATCATTCAGAACAATAACCTCTGGTATAGTATGTAATATGCCCCCAAAATGGTAAAAATATCAACTGGAATTGTTTTCTCTTGTGCTCTGAAATGTTCAATTCTTCTGCTTTTATAGAAATATTTGTCATTGCTTTATTCCCTGACTGAAAGTAACTGAAAAGGATCAGTAATAACAGTGGCCATTGTCTAATGAAAAAGAAAAGAACACACACACGCACGCACGCACGCACACACACAGACAGACAGACAGACAGACAGACAGACAGACAGACAGATAGATAGATAGATAGATAGATAGATAGATAGATAGATAGATATGCTGCTTTCATTTAGCCTACTGACCCTGACCAAGTAGTAATTGAGTAATTATGAAACTAAAATTAATGTGATTTATTTTGCATTTCCCATTGAGTCTCTAAAAATGTCGTTCCCTTTTTATTATCCCTTTTTATTTCGTTCCCTTTTTATTATGTAGTTCTTTTTATAGTGTGTTTTTATTTGATTTTGTTTTATTAACCTGAGTGCCAATCTTTCTGCTGTCACACTCATGTTTCTCTTTCCATAGAAAAGTCTGGAGGTGGGAGGGGGCGGATGGCTTCACACTATTCATCATTATGCATTATTCTACTATTCACAGTGAAGACTAGAAACCAAATTAAACTACCTAATTGAAGAGACAATATTTTTCACAAATCATAATCCAGTACTCTTCTGAAGACATCTATTATTGTTGTTGTTGTTATTAATAATATTATTTGTGTTTTAAACCCATTGCTGCTTTTGCCATAGCTAAACTACCATGAAATTAAAAAGGAGATGTTTTCGTTCAGGCTCGATCTCTACTCCTATTGGCCCCGCGGCGTACCACGTGGTCAAACGGTCACGCGCTTTCCAGAAAGCCGTCAGGAAAGAGAAAAACAAAACAAACCCGAGAGAGCTTTAACAGCGTGTGGACTCCATTGAATAGGGAACGCTTTTATCTTCAACACGGGAAGCAAACAGCGAGCGAGGCGTGCGCATGGAAGTCTTAACAGTGAGTAGAAGCGTTATTGGTGCGTATAGGTGAACTTTGCCGAGCGGCGAGTGCGTGTTTTATCGGCTACGGTGGATTAGCTTTGAAGCTAACTGGTTGTTGTGTGTTGAGCTGAGATGAGGAAGGGGGCGGACAGGAGGCCATACTGACTGAGCTGCGGGTAAAGAGAAAGCAAGACTCGCTATTTGTTTTACTGGAAACCCCTCTCTTATTAGCTAGTTAACATTTTAACGAGACATTGTTGCGTACGCTAGTTTGTAAAGGGTTTGCAGGAAGTGTTCAAATGGAACCTGGCTTTCTCTTTTGGTGAGCTAAAATACATTTTGGTCACTGAGCACTAAATTATCTTTAAAATAACTCCAAGTGGATTTTGTTTGTTTCATTTTGTTTGTTGCATTTTGTTTGTTGACTTATTTTAGTCGGATTCTGGGCCACTGTGTATAAAACAACTGTTATGTAAGAAGATTGGCTCGAACTCTTCAACTGTTCAAAACGCATGCAACGTTGTGTTCACGACTATATCACGTGGCTGTGATATATTCGAAAGCGAAAATTCTGTGTGTAATAATTAGTTTCAGCTGAATAAAAAAACGTGTTTTGTGACTCGTCAACATGACATAAGCAGATAACGCTGTCTTCCTCGGACTGGACAAGAAGAAATGTGACGTGTTGTTATTTATTAGATGCTTGCGCTCAATCGACGGGCAAATTTTAAGTTTCAGTTAAACATAAATATCTAGGGCACAGGCATGTAGGCCTCCCAACTTGTTTATCTTCTGCTTCAACCTAGATTGAAACAAGCTGTTTATGATGAAGCAGCTCCTGTGATAGAAAGGCATTCCGTCCAACCAGGAACGCTCGAAGGCGGGACGTCATCTTCGCGCGACCAATCGGAAAACGGGGTTACGTGGGTGTTGGCACAGAGCGTTAGATTGAGGTTTTGTTTTGCTTTGTGGAGATCCGTGATGGGTGCAGAGACTGGTGAGACGCTGGTGACATTCTGGTTTTACTGGTGTACATTAAAGGTCATTGTACTTGTCGTTTAGCGACGTAGCAGCTTTCATGCCTAAGCTAACAAGTGGATCGTTTTTAATGGCATATGTAACGTTTTTCTGAAGAAGATAGCTGTGTTATCCTGATAATGTGATGGTTCTGATACGGTTTGATGAATCAAAGCTTATCGTCTTGCAACCAACAGTGTCTTGAGTTAAAGTTAATTATTTAAATGATCTCATTGTTGGATTGATAACATTTACCGATGGGTATGGTGGAGTGCAATTCCAGTGCGGTATTTGTTAAATCTGTTTATGTAAAATTCTTCAAGCACTTTTTATTTTTATTTTATACATTTCTTATTTCCCATGAGCACGTGTGTGCAATGACATCACTCTTAAGCTGTAAGTGAGACAATGTAACAAAACAGTCAGGTGATTGTTTCTGAAAGTGTCTGCATAATCAGTTTCAAATGTACTTTAACTTTACCTGCTGTATTTTTATCTACGTAAACCTGGCTGACCTAATTATTGACGGCTTTGTGAGCTGCATTCTGTGTAGTATTTAAATCAATCAGTTTAACAGGGTAAACGCTCACGACCTGGCTCAATAGGACCAACAGGCAGTCCCTGTTCCAACATGTGACATGTTTAAAATAATAAACACAAAACATCAAAACAGAAATGTTTGCCTCAACGTTTTCGTCCTCCTGCGTTCCCACCACGAGGACATCACGATCCCCTTGCATGTGTTCTCCCCCCCGTGGGGCTGAAGGTGTGTCAGTGAACTGCTGCGTCCTAGAACCACACATCTGATTAGGTGGGTGCAGCAACCAGCCGTATCACTCCACTATACTCCTCTGCTGTTTAAGTGTGACTCTCAGAAGCAGGATTTTGTGAAGCTGAGGAAATCGGCGAGTTGGAACATTTTTTCACATTTTCTTTAGCTTTATTTCTATAAACACTTTATTTTTCTCAGCATTGCTTTACAGTGTACTGCTACTACTACTTTATCATATAGTCATGATTAGATTGATCGAAGTGAAATCTCTTTAAAAATTACATTCTATACAAAATGACGAGATGATGCTATCATATATTTTACAGTTTAGCTCTTCTCAGACCACAAAATATTTTTAAATCAAAGTGATGTGGTCTTATAAGAAAACTCAGACTTTTGTAGGGCTCGGCTACAAAGGTATTGGTGCAGATGAAGTAAAAGACGAGAGTCATGCTGTCACCGCAGCTCAGACAGACTCCTGATTAAAAAAAAGGATCATTTGACTGTTTTACACCATTCTGTGAAACTTTTCTGAGTTTGTTTTATGTGAATTCATCTCACACAAAATATAGTGGCTGATATATCACACACACATTTTTGCTTTTTTGTCACTTTTGCTGTGTTTTGTTTTTGATTAAAAACTTTGAAAACATGAGTGCAAATGAGACAATATCTGAAAGACTGATTGCAGGTTTTTATGAAAGTCTTTGTTTCTGTGCATCACCATTCATAAAGTGATGATAATTTCATTAAACGTCATTCAACATTAGTAGTTGATGATAAATCAACCAGTTTGGGGCTTTAAATTGCAGATATGAAGAGGTTCATCATGGTCAGCCGATGCATGCGGAGGAACTTTTTTGGGCAGGTTTTACATATCTGTCCACTTTATCTTGATCCTAACATCACTGATAACAACAGTGGACACAGCATTTCTGTACCTGAATCGGTTTTTGAACACCGATTTTAAACGAATCGTGAATCTTCATTTTGTGCACCGTTAGGTATGAAAATCAAACATTTAACCAAAATTAGTCATAACAAATAAACATTTGTCAACAGTGCATTTATCAAGCAGATCTTTTTCAGTAATGTAAATAAACAAAATTAGACAGCAGCGCCGGGCTGCCAATGGATGTGCCTGATTTTAAACGGGCTCTTCTAAAGAGACAGCCAACACAATATATAAAAAATATATGGGTCTAATCCTAGCTGCAAAGGTGGAGTCATGACATGATTAAAAAACAAACAAAAAAAAAATCCCTGTTTTCTTTAAGCATAGCGAATTGTTACCTAGGCTTAAGGGACATATTCATGCCTCGAGTGTTAATGACCTTTTGTGATGTTTGCTCTCACACCACCCCTTTATTTAAACAGGTTCCTGCTTGTTTCTGCAGTAATTGGGGTCTTGTTGGTATCAGTGGGAAACTCATTCTGAATAAGACGCTGCTCATTGGCCCACTTGGATCACAGCCATTGTTGTGAGGCAGTGATTATTAGCTGTTTAAATGAGACTAGAGCTATGAGATGAGTTATGTTTATTTGGTTTTCTGCTACAAAACGAATCTCGAAAGGTCTGTTTAATAATTAATGGGCTGTTATTAAACACACTGATGATTAAATGTTCAAAGGGAAGGTGCTGCCAGTATGCTGTCACAAAAAATGGCCACTTAAAGAAACGTTTTGTGCGTCTATTTTCAGGTAATTATTCAGGACTCATGCAGGAAACCATATATTTATCCTTAAATTACATTTTCGATCACACACGCCAAGGTTTCTGCTAAAATAGAAAAGAAATACAGCCCATTTTTGTAGGTGAGGTGTGATGTACCACATAATGTGAGCAGAGTGATAAAGCCATAGTTCACTGTGGAAGCTTTATTAAAAGATTGTAAAACTGCAGCGGATGAAGGCATGATTTTATTAACCTCTACCCCCCCCCCCCCCCCCGATGTTCAGACATGACTAAATTGCTCTTCTGAGATGTATTTAAAGAGCAAGTCACTCCAAATCAACATTTTTTTGCTGATAAACTATATAAATTAGTGTTTGATCATGCTGCAGACACATGTAGTCAATAATTCGGCACTTTAGTGCATCTTAGTTAAAATTTAAATATTCTGCCTAAAACTGTCAGTGTTGCACCGTCGTCAGGTAAAAACTCAGCACTGCATTTGAATTTAAATCTGCCGTCGCTATTGGCTAAGAGGTACACTATGATGTTAGATGGTACATTATGATGTCACAATGTTGTGAGTGTATGTATGTGTTAGCGGCTCCACCCTCTCGATCTGCTAGGCAACATCATTTGTTGCATTTTTTAAACAGGAAGTGGGAGTTGAGTAAGAATCTGGTAGGGGGTGACTTGCTCTTTAAGGATTTTACCATCTTACTTTTTAATAGTTCCTATGTAGTTTAGCTTCTACCATTTGTTGTTGGTGATCTAGTGGATGCGTGTGCACATTTTGGAGGTTCTGTGCTTCTGTTTGCTTTGGTGTTAGTTCAGTTGTGGCTTATACAATCAAAGTTATGCTAGCAGCATGCACAGCAGTGTTTTTATTCACTTCCTGCCTCTATGCAAAGCCTGTTTTGAGTGAGATGGAACAGTTGGGTGAAAAGTTTATTTTTGTCGCTCACCACCAAGCAGAAGGAAGTGAAGTTGTTTGGTGACCTTGCATGTGTTTGATTTCTGTGTCATGTGGTCGTGTTTCTCTATGCTGAATTTTTCTTAATTTGTTATGCAAATAGGAGAGGAAAATAAAAGACAGATGTTAAAATCCAGATAGATTGAACAATTTTCTGCATTTTGATATGTACAATATTCATAACAAAATATGTATTGCTTTAGTAAAGTAAGGTGTTTAAAAATCCACGTGTCAAACAACAAATTGGTTGTTGCTTTGTGTTAAAGTTCATTCTACCCTCTCTGTCGCCACAGACCTGAAGCATACAGAGAGACGCTCCTGACCACAACAGACCAGACCAATCCCAGTTGAGCCCAGTAACTCGTCTCCCCCCCTCCTCCCTCCAGCCACCCAGGCTGCATTCTTCAGCGCTCTGTGACCGACTCCCTCAGCAGTATTTGGTTGTGTTGATCCGACATTCTCACAGCAGTGGGACTGGACAGGAGACCCAGAGGTTCCCGCCGCTGAAGCACTAAGCTGTGCCTGGCAATGCCTCAGGTGAGAACTACAGCAACGAACAGCCCATTGATGAACCAGTTAGAGGACAAATTATACTGGGTAACATTTAGTGGAGATGGCAGACGTAGACAGAGTTAGAGATTTGAATCACTTTCCTGAGGTGACTCACTGACCCTGGAACTGTACCGTCTGCAGAGGCTGCTGATTCATGCAAGCCCAAATAAACCAGCATGAGGGTGGATCACAGCCTGAATCCTTCTGAGGAAGTAAATTGTGTGAAAATTATTTTAGCAGTTCAAGAGAACAAATAATATTATTTAAAGGTGTTGAACACTTGTTTATGTAATAAATTTACATCTCTAGTAGGAAGGAATGCCATGTAGCGTCAGATGGCCGGATTTGGAGTCTTTATTTCCTGATATTCGGACATCTCGTCCTGGATTGGACAACAGTAACCCGACTGTATCACTGACTCAGTTAGCTTGCTTGGCGACATCAATGTTTTATCTCCACAAATTTCACAAGCCTGAACGTGCTGCTAATGCTAATGTTTAGCTTCTACCAGCCAAGACGTTCTCTGCTGTTTCCCCGACACTAAACCAACAACAACCCTCCCCGTCATGAGCCAAAATGGGGGAGTCCATGAATGTTAAAGGTTGAATACCGTAAATCCTCTAATATTAGCCTGTATTTAATTAACTGCCGGGTGTCATATTTTGGCCGGTGTCGGAGTCGGCGGAGGTGAATAATGGCCGGTTTTTTATTGCGGCCGGGTGGAATGTGGTAACAAGCAAGTACGGGGGGGCGGTTGTGTCATCTGTCTCACTTTTGATTTGCCAGTGATAGACCGCGAGGGTAACTTTAACCGTGCGGAGATGAAGAGGAGGCGAAAATTTGATATCAAGTTCAAAGAGAACGTGCTGATTATGCTGCATAACACTCTGGGGAGCAGTAGCAGGGGTTGTATGAACTAGTCACTAGTCGACTTCACCGCTATATAGTGACTTTTTATGCCTGTTATCGACTAATCGCTGTCACGTGATAATGACCGGCAAGATGCAGTCCTCGGAAAAGACAGCAGCCTGCTGTCAGCAGGTGACAAGCTCCTGCGCGTCGGGAGGCAACGCGCTGTGCCAGAGCATCGGTACTGACACCTGCCGTAAAACGGACATTTAACCAAATTGTGACCTTTACCCTCTTGCAATTTAACCTTCCCCTCACCCCCATCCTAACCTTAACCAGCTTGCGCATGCAAAGCTCTGATTGTTGACGCGCTCCAGACATCTCCGTCTTGAGCACGGCCACAGTAACGTTATCAAATCAGGTGTCGCCACCTCAAAAACTAATTTAACATGCGAGCATTCATGTCGGCTCATTTCCTTTTATGTTTTCTGTCTTTTATTCTTTTATTTGTGCCTGATGCTTTTCGCTGCTGTGGATCGGGGCGCATCACCTGTTTTGTCCTCGGTGACGCACCTAACTGATGCGGCCGGGAGTACTCCACTGTTTTTGCGGTCGGTAGATCTTTTAGAGCTGCAGTTCAAAGGTAACTCATAAGGTGAATATATATGAACCCAGGTAGCAGTTTCTCTTTAGGATTGAGAGAAGATGCAGGAAGATAATAAACAGAGACAGGACAGAAAAATAGTCAGATAAAAACAAGTTAGTTTTTGTACCTGCTGGTTGCAACAGACACCATTGAAGGTAATCAGAAGTGAGGAACAGAAAATGAAATAATTATTTTAATGTTTAGAGCAGCAGGAACTCTGAGAGGCTGCAGGTGCATCAGTGAGTTTGCGGCTGCTGCGCAGGGGGAGGGGAGAGAGGGCTGAAGAGAAACTACCGTTGTTAAAAGAAATGTGTTTAACTTTGAAAATGTGGGCGCAATTTTAACTGTCAAAAACTCCAGCGAACCATTAGTTCATTTTGCTCAAATAGAAATTGAGGCCTGCCTCTAATTCTGGCCCTCCTTCCAATAAAGGCCTGGAGCTTGATGAGCTTGAGTCAAATACAGGCCCGGGCCTGTGTTATGGGCCATTCCCATCTGTACCGGGTCGGCCCGGGCTGGGTAGCGTAGGTTGTTTACATATCTGGGTGACCTGGTATTTTTCCGGGCCAACCAAGGCTCATTCTCAGCCCTCTTCTCGAGGGGGTCTGCTTCAGGCCGACCAGGGCCAACACACCCACTGCTGACAGCAAATTCACACCTTCCATTAGAGCAAGCCTCTGATTGGTGGGTAGAATCAGCCCACATGGGCTTAAGGCAAGGATGTGTGGAATAAACCGGGCCGACTGGGGCTACCCGGCCCGGGCCGACCCGGTACAGATGGGAATGGCCCATTAGAGGATTTACGGTATATAACACTGACACTGGCGAACACTCTAGTGAACTCTGGTGTTCAGAGGTGGTATTGCAACAACAGGACTAATTTTCCAGCCGTTGGGATGTTGGTTCACTGCTGACACGTTCAGTACCGTGTTCAGAGACAAATCGTACAGGATAAGGACTAATTTCTACTAATATGTTTATTTTACAACAGTATTTACCCTTTAGAACGTCTTCTGGGCTCAGAATCAGCTGCTTGACTTGTTAAGTTCGCCATTTAACACAGTCCCAACCTTGCCTTGCTAAGCAGACTTTTGAGCGCAAAGGTGCCTTCTAGTGGCTGTCAGATGTAAACAAAAACACAGCATCGTGCACGACAGAATAACAATTTGATTATCTTTTCAAATATAGCTTTTAAAGGAGAAACTGGACAAACTCATGAGATGAAGTTTGCTTTTGATTCTACTAAACAGACACTAGGGGGTGCTAAAAACAAGCCAAAACTGCCAAGTGTGCCTTTAACCCTCCCACTGTCTTTATGGATGACCCCACGAGGAAAGTTGACCATTGAGCAGGATTGATGATTTATCCCTTGAGGTCCACCTGGCAGGGGTGAGGCGGTGCTCACTTCTCACCCCTGCCACATGGACCCAAGGGATACACTGTCTACTTTCCTCGTGGGGTCACACCCGTTAGGACAGTGGGGGGGTTAACTGTTAAGGACCAGAGGGGACACTCGTGTCACAACCCATTTCAAACATCTGCAAAATTTCTTCTTAAGTCTAATATTCAAGTTTGAAAACCCAAAGGGACGTTCTATCCATACATATATTGAAACTTGATTTACTTCTTTATTTTATTTGATTTATTTCTACATTTTGATGTATTTATTCCTGTCTGTTTTCTAATTGTGTTCGGGTTCTAAAGAGTTAAAGAAAATCCTACAGTAACGATTACCTTTCATAATTTGTTTGCACCAGTTTTTATCTTGTTATAATTTTACAGACAAAAAAATCTGTCAGTTTTGTTGCTCTTTTGGTGAATTTTGGACCATAAACAAGGATAATATGCTGGTTGCTGATGCCCATGAGACTGGACCTCGGAATATTTGATATTAGGTTTAATGCAAATGCATCAGTAATAAAATTACACTCCCAATTATAAGAATTTCCTTCTGTGTGGAGATGTTTTCTCTACTTTTTGACTTTGCCGGTTCATGACTCTTTTCAGAGCTTTTCACATTGTGTCCTCTAACGTCTTCCTTTTTTGTGGCTTTGCTTCAACGTTTTTGCTCATTTCTTTTCGTTTGGACATTAATAAAGCCAGAGTTGTTCTACTGCTTTTCCTTTCAGTCACTAGTGATAGAAGCAGCATCAGAGTCACTGCTTTGAATCAAAACGCCACATAATAACGGAGGCCAATTATCACGTTCATAACGGGGAGAACGTCTTGTTTCCTGTTTATCAGACAATTATTGTTTTACTGTTCCTTTTAACGTGGGTTTCTCTCTGGTTAAGCGGTAGAGCTGTAAATTAAAAGACTGCACTAAAAAACACCACTGCCTGTTCAGTTAAAACAGGTTAGGATAATTGAACAAACAAAATGAAATGCTGTTTATCTCAGGAGCAGTGGAAACTTCCGGTGCGACAGCAATGCTGATCTGTTGGTTATGGTTTCTGTTTGACTAGTTTCGTTATTTGTGTAAAAATTCCTGGAGGAGAACAAACTGAAAATGTAGTCCCAGTCATACCAGTATGCTGTAGGATAAGTGGTGAAGCTGGGTGTTTCTGTTGTGTTGCAGCCCAGCGTCAGTGGGATGGAGCCTCCCTTTGGGGACGCCTTTCAGAACTACTCGTTTGCTGACCAGGCCTTAACCAGCACCGAGCTGCTGTCCACCAGTTCTGACCCAGATTTCATGTATGAGCTGGTAAGTAGTGCACACGCACACACACACACACACCTGGCTAAGTAACAAACAGGCATAAGACCATCCTTCTTTTACCCCATCAGTTACAGCTGCTCTCACCGAGCTGTCGCTGACACATGTCCAAATAAAGTTTCGCCATTTAGAGCATGAATTGCTTTCTAATTACGAGTTAAATATCGGCAGCAAATTTAAAAATATATATTTTATTTGCGTAACAATCATCTCAACTTGAGATGATTTAGTCTTTTTACTCCTGTTGCAACATATGTTCTCACTAATTTTCTCTAATTCTCACTGGATCAATGATTAATGTTAAAATAATTAAAGTGACTCTTACATAAACATCATCTAGTGTTGCTCCTTGTCCTAGATTTTGAGTTACCATTTGGCTCTTTAATTCATGAGGGATTGTGGTTGAAGTACTCCTGTATGAAATGGGACGCTTGTCAGGACGCTAAAACACCAGAACGGGCCACTGGTGCCTGATGCAGGATACTTTTTTGCAAAAACGACTTAAACAACTGGTCATGTTTGTGCTAATAGACAGAAAACAAATGTCGCTGCTGTTGCCGCCTGCCAGTTGCCAGGTTTGGCCGTTATTTGGTCTATTCATGCTGAGTAATCTGCTTTGTTGCAAACACGTTATGTTTGCCGTTAAACTTGTGTCACTCTTGTTTGAAGTTTACTCCTGGAGTATCTCACTTTGCCCTTCCCCTGTAAAACATAATTCACCTTAAGAGTGAGAGATGGATTAACTTTGCCACTGATGTGTTTATCATTACACTTTTAATTATTTTATCAGGGTTTAGTTCTGTTTATTTAACTTCTTATGAAAGAATCCTTGAAATATTTGTTGTTTTGGGACATTTCAGTGTTGCACACAGAAGCGTATTCCCGTCAGGGCAAGGAAAAAACGAAGGAGCTATACCTCCTAATAAAGAGATCATGTCTCATTATTATGAGATGCTAAGTCACGTTATTATGAGAAAGTCTAGTATTTCATATAAAGAGATGGCTCCTGGCAGTAAAACGAGACAACGAAACGCACTTTGGTCAAGCCGTCCTCCACTTTGAAAACAACAGAGAAACCAACCATCTCACAGGGATTTCTTTTCTATGCAAATTTACATTTCTTTCACTTTTTAGCCAAGGTACTGTTGTCAAAGTAAATGTTGACTCCTGGTTTGTGTTTTTTCACATTCAACAATATCTGGACATGCATAAAAAGCATGTCCAGATATTATGTTGGACATGTTTTCTTAGTATGGGTGTTTTGGTTTTATGCTCCTCAAAAGCATCCTTTCTTGGCACGAAAAGCTGTCAGTCTGTTGCCTTGGCAACAGTATGTGTGTGTGATGGAAAGAGAGCTAGCCAGTGTAACTTGTTGGTTGTTTGGCGATCTTGCCTCTTTTTGTTGTGCAGCAGTGCAGCCCCTGTAATCTGGAGTCATCACCCCGTTCATTCGGAGTAGAAGCCACAACACATGTTGCTATATTACTGTTACAACCTTTGTTGTTATAATCAAGTTGTTAAACACATATTATGAAAATTTTTTTTGTCATGAAGTTATTATGAAAAATGCTTTTGTTATTATGAGATATTAAACCTTTAAAGAAACTGAGAAACATAATACTGAGCCTCCCTGGTAAGATCTGTTTAGGTGCTAAAGAGGAGGGTCCGTCTGATTGTTGAACCTTGGGTTCAGGAAGAGCAATGTGGTTTTCATCCTGGCCGTGGAACACTAGACCAGCTCTACACCCTTAGAGGATCCTGGAGGATGCGTGGGAGTTCGTCTAACCCCTTCTTTCCACCGGAGCCGTCAGCAGCGCGAGTCGGCCGCGTCTCAGGAGCAGCATGTCGCGGCCTTTACGCGCCGGTTCTGTTTTCTACGCGCGATGCCTCTGAAACGGGTCAAGTTCGACATTTTTGGGGAAGGAAAGACAGGAAATCGGACGCGGGAATGGAGAGAAGCTCCCGAGATTTTCAGAATAAAGAAACGTACTGCCTTCCGGTTGCTTTACTTATAAAATAGTTACTAACTGTGCGGCCCTGTGAGAAGTTATCATCTAGCTAGCGGTCTCCTTTGTTTTTCAGGTCCGTATTGGCGATTATAAAACGGACAGAACATAAAACACAAACCTTTTGGAGCCATGTTGTAGTTTTCTCCTGCTTGTTGTTGTGTTTACTGATGATGTCACTCGTGTGACTTTGTGCTCTGTCGGTGACAGCTGCTCCCCTGCTGCTTCGCGTCTCGTGGGAAGGGCGTGAGCAAGACGTGCTGCTGCAGTAACGTGCTGCTGACGGCTCCGGTGGAAACCCGGGTTAACCATGTACATGTGTACGCGTCCCTCGGGAGGCCCTGTGGGGGGTACTTCGGGAGTATGGGGTACCAGACCCTTTGATACGGGCTGTTAGGTGACTGGTGTGAGAGCTTGGTCCGCATTGCCGACAGTAAGTCGGGCTCGTTCCCAGTGAGAGTTGGACTCCACCAAGGACAGGATTCTAGGTGCAGCCAAGATGATGAGGGGATCTGTTTTGGTGGCCTGAGGATTGAGTCTCTTGCTTTTGGCAGATGATGTGGTCGTGTTGGCTTTATCAGAACGTGATCTCCAGCTTTGCCTGGAGCAGTTCACACAGCTGAGTGTGAAGCAGCTGGGGTGAAAATCAGCTCCTGTAAATCCGAGACCATGGTCTAGAGCCGGAAAAATGGTGGATGCCTTCTCCGGGTCAGGGACGAGGTCCTGCCTAACATGCATAACAGGTCTAAATCATAATTGGCTTTAATTAAAGGATTCACCTTTAAACAGATGAGATGTGTCCTAACGTGTAACCTTAAGATAACCCCAGTGCTTAAGAACCAACAAAGTCAGTGTTATAATTACAAGATTTATTATAAGTTCACATTTGATGTTTTTCAGGTTCTTTTATGAAAGAAACTGGTTTGCTACAAAACAGGACAGAATGGTTATTATACTGCTAATTTCAAATTTTCTTAAAAACAATCCAACAACCTCAAGATCTGGCTGCAGACATAAAACCCCGCAACGAGGGAAGTCGGTTTGCTGTTGCATGAAAAGTTGTTTGTGAAAACGAGATTCATATCAAATTATTTTGAACAGTTCTCTGGTTTTTATGAGATACTGTTCCTTTGCACTGATGGAAATATGCTTCCATAGTTATGTTTATGCTGATCGATGCTGTTTAGTTAACCTTGTTAGTATTTCTTAGCCTGACAAGCCAGACTAAATAAATGTATTATTTAGTCTGGCAACGCTCCATTGACGGCTCTCGGTTGTGGGGCGGGTTCTACCGTTGTCATTCAAATGATCTCCGCATGCTACTCGACGATGAATGTGACATACTCACCGCAACAGCTATCGGTAAATGAGGCGGTCCGCAGTTGAAGAAGGAGAAAACACATCATTTTTTCTAAAAAAAAAAAAAAAAAAAAGCACTTAAATACATCTATCTGGGATAGGGATAGCTTTACATGTGAAAAATCACAGCAAAAAAGATGAACTGTGAAGACTGGCTTAACCCTTCCACGTGAAGAATAAAGCAATAGTCTATTTTATTATATTATTTATTTCTTTGGGGCAACAAGAGCTAACATTAAATGTAGGGTGATAATAATAATTTAAAAACAATAATATGAATGTTATTAATGGCGCTTTAAACGGGACTCCCTGTAGTAACTGCAATATTTGCATTGGTTTACTTTTATTTATTTATTTATTTATTTTCTTAGAATTGTATTTAACATATTTTTCTCATTTTTAGAAAACCTCAAATGAAATTCTGCACAAATTATCAAATATGTTCACTTTTCCTATAAAAGTTTAAGTTAATAATCAAATTTTCAGGTTATACTAATGTTACACGATAATGTTAAACTCTTTATTCAAATATCTTCAAGTTTTGGAATTTTCTTTTGTATAATTGTTTTTCAAATTAAGTTCAGTTCATGCTTCAATAAGAAAAAACGACGTTTGACTTGCAAGCTAAACATTTGTGATTATGTTTCTTCTTTGAGATTTCGTGTGAATGGAGACCTTTGAACCTTTAAATGCTGTGTTCGGTTTAATGTTGGTGTTTTGTTTTGCTCACTCTTGCATTCTAAAGACTTGTGAGAACATCATTTTGGACCTGCTGCTCTCTCTAGGCCACTGCACGGCAAGTCACAAATGGAAAAGGAAGTTTGCTCATTTGCATTACTTCTGGCTTCATTTTTCTGTTAAAATTTCTACAATTTGTCCTAACACTGATGCTTTTTTGTGAACTAAGTTGCTAAGTTGGCAGCTAGGAGGAGAAATTGTGAGGAAGTCTGAGGTTTTCATCATCTCTTTGTGCACAATCACAGCAATAAAAAACATTGCAGTTACTTAAAAACAGGCCGTCTTGTAATCTACGTTCTGCTAAAATTGGCTTTGTTGTCTTGTTTTTCTCTGCAGGACACAGACATCAGCCACCGACAGAGTCCCTGTGGGGACAGCATGGTGGGGGTTGGGGATGGAGGTAAGGAGGTGGAGGGAGGTGTTGATCAGCTCATGGGACTAGGGGAGTGTGAGATGGTCTGCAGCAGCTCAGCGTTCGAACAGTGGGACTCCTACTGGGAAGACCTCACCAGGTAGAGGGTCGCTCTCGTTAAGTTATTAATGCATTAACACCCTCTTTACTCCAATGTAAACCTTACTTTTGTTTAAAATGACACGATGCATCCAAGTAGTTCATTTTGTTATAATAAACTTTCTAAATTACTAATTTAAATATGAGAATGAAATTATTTTAGGATGTTTTCAATATTAAATTCTATAATAGCCGAGAAAGATGAACTTTTATGCTGTTAAAGGAATGATTTACTGTGACGCAATGGTGTGTTGTTGACAGGTACACACGGCTGGCCAGCTGTGACATCTGGGGAACCAAAGAGGTGGACTTCCTTGGTCTGGATGACTTTTCCAGTCCCTACCAGGATGAGGAAGTGATTGGTCAAACCCCGACGCTGGCGCAGCTCAACAGCGAGGACTCACAGCCAGTCTGTGAGACGCTCTGCCCTCCCGTTGACCTGAGCCTTCCTGTCCCCCCGTCCCAGCCCCAGCCACTTCAGCCCTCCAATCACAATAAGAGACACTTTGTCCTTGGCCAAGGATTTGGCCCTAGCTCAGTCCGGTCGTCTCTGTGTTCCACATCCTCTTCCCAGTCCCGTCCTTCCCGCAGTCTTCTCGCGGACTTTCCTGAAAGCTCCCAAAGAGCAACCAGACCTGTTCCCTCCAGCACAGAGACTATGGCGAAGACCCAAAACCAACTCAACGCCATCAAGGATCAAGGCCAGACCAAGCCTGTAGGACGAGGAATGAAGACCGCCGCCCCAACGTCTCACAGTTTGGACTTTGTGCGGAAAGCTAAAGTACGAGTGAGTTCTGTGCTCCGAGCTGAAGGTGACGTGGCTGCGCCGGCAGATTTTGAGAGGCCGGGTCCCCCTCTACCCCTCTCCCAGCCTCGAGATGAGAAGCCCTCTACTTCGGTCAGCGTCGCATTGGCGGGACTTCCTGCTCCTGCAGCTAGAGGCTCTGGCAGCCTGGCAAGCTTTGAGAAAGCAGAGGGGGCAGTAAAGAGAGAGGTCCAAGCCAGAGCAGCGGAGCCAAGCCCGACTATGGGCGGTGCCTCTGGACTTGTGGGCGGTGGCAGCGTGGTAGTGGCTAGCGCGGCAGGGGGAGGTGGCGGTGGCATTCTGGTTGTGGAAGACTCTGAGAAGAGCAAGGAGGAGGAGCATAACTACTCATTGTTCCTGACCCGCAGCAAAGCTCACTCTCAGCTGGATGAAGATGAGGACGAGGACGATGAGGAGGAGGCAGAGGAGGATGAAGGCGACGGGCTGGAGTTGGACGATGAAGACCACGATGAGGGTTTTGGTAGTGAACATGAGCTGTCTGAGAATGAGGAGGAGGAGGAGGAAGAAGAGGATGAAGATTACGAAGCAGACAAAGATGATGACATGAGTGATGCCTTCTCGGAGCCAGGTGCCCTTCACCTTAATGTTTCTGGTTTAACCCTCCCACTGTCTTTAACCCTTTGATGCTTAACGGTCACTACAGTGGGCAGGTACCCAAAGTTGTTATTTATTTATTTTTGCTATTAAGCACAGCTGTTGAAGACTTCATTGCATTCGAGCCCCTCCATTTGGACTTCAGTAAGCCAAGCCAACATATTTCATGTTCAGAATGCACACTGTCCTCTGAGGTGGACATGTAATAAATTATTTGTAAATTATTAAATGTTACAAAAAATATTTGTTGAAAATTGTTTCATTCACACCTGAAGTTGAATGAAAAATATTGTTAAAAAAATCATGGTTGAAGATTTCATAATTCATGCATCAAAGGGTTAAGGAGGAGAGTTGGCTATTGAGCAGGACTGATGGTTTAAAGCCAGTGGGAGGGTTAATAATACATAAAGAAAGTGTAAAAACTCTTGTATTGTCTCTCTGTTGCTCTAATTTCCTCCTTGTTCTTCTGTTTCTCGTTGAAACTCCACCAGGTTGTGACATGGAAGTAATGGAAGACATGAAAGGCCTGACGGCTGGAGTCTCCAGCCGGAAAAGAGGCAAGCGTCGCTACTTCTGGGAGTACAGCGAGCAGCTCACGCCCTCTAAACAGGAGCGGATGCTGAAGCCGTCTGAGTGGGACAGACACACGTTGCCTAGCAACCTGTATCAGAAGAATGGACCTCTCCACGGTACCAAAATAAACAAATGCACTCATGTCAACCTCACGGGTTCAGCTAGACCATCCCTTTTGGTCCTAATCAGTAGAACTTGAATTCATATTTATGTCTGTCACAAAGGGAAGTACATGCTGAAGAAGTCTCGGCGCACCGACGTGGAAGACCTGACACCCAATCCTCGCAAGCTGCTGCAGATCGGAACAGAGCTTCGTAAGCTGAACAAGGTGATCAGCGACTTGACGCCCGTCAGCGAGCTGCCGCTGACCGCGCGACCGAGGTCCCGCAAGGAGAAGAACAAGCTGGCGTCCAGGTAACCTGTTTAGACCCAGCTGGAGTCATAAGATGGTCTATGTACAAGTCATTTCCACTCACTTGTGTGTAATTTAGGGCTTGCCGTTTAAAGAAGAAGGCTCAGTATGAAGCCAACAAGGTGAAGCTTTGGGGACTCGGTACAGAATACGGTGAGTTTATTTGTGCCTCTCTTTTTCTGGATTAAATATTTATAGAAAGCTCTGAGCATCAGTGTCTGCGCATTTCCTAAAACCACCGCCTTGTTCCAGATCGGTTACTGTTCGTCATCAATGCCATCAAGGAGGAGATCGTGCTGCGAGTGGAAGACTCGTCTCCTCGTTCGACCAACATGACGGAGACCCTGGAGCGGCTCATCAAAGAGACACTCGGTGAGAAGATGAGAATCAAATAACTAAAGATTATTTAATTTGTAAAAAATTAAAGAAAAACAGTAAATAATATTGTATTCTTGTGTGTCTGTGTGTAGTGCCATCACCTGTTGCTGGGCAGACTTCAGACTTTGTCAACAAGATCTTGGAGAACACCGGGCGCGGCGATCCCACCGGCGGGCTGGTCGGCCTGCGAGTCCCCACCTCTAAAGTCTAGGCAAACGGCCATCAGACGAGAAGAATGGACTAAATGTTACCACCGTGCTGTCCCTTTGTAACTGTTCTGCCCTCTGCATGCCCCTCCAACTCAGAGTAAATACACATCGTCCGTCACTTAAACACACATACCACCTCCCCGTGTGTGTGTGTGTGTGCTTGTTTTTGCCATGCGATTGTGTGGCGCGCACACAGCTTTTTGTTTGCCCACCCCGCGTGTGGAGTGGGTGCATCGCTGTTACCCGGCCCATCGTGACCGCCTGATGGGAGAAGTGCGTCTGAAGTGACGGCGATTATTAGATGTGCTTAATCTGTAGGAGGCTTCTGTTTGAGGATGAGTATAACCACTGGAGCTTGTCTCAGGTGGTGACGAACTTGGTTACATGCCAGACACAAAGGTTTGAAGGAGTTTCAGTCATTTTCCATTAGGAGGTTCACCCCCAAAAACACAATTACAGGATGTTTAATTGACCTTTTCACTAAAGCACTTTGACAAAGTTGGCTCTGGTAGCCAAAAGAGAAAACAACAACAAGAAAAACCACAGCAGAAGAAAAACTGAGAGCAGAGTGGCAGGAAATATTTTGTACTGAAGGCCTAAATATGTTTGTGCCACTTCCTGTCAACCAATCAGCTCTGCTGTCCTAAAAATAGCTTTACATGTGAAAAATCACAGCAAAAAAAAGAAAAATGCAAACGCTCACCTAATCGTCCCTGCCGGTTTGAAAGTTATCCGGCAGGAGAAAGCTTTATGTTGCCCTCGACAACAGGAAGTGCAGAGGAGGTGCATGTAGCATGGTGCTTTGTGCTGGTTGTAACTGGACTGATGCAGTTGAGCTTTTATTGCCAGTATGGGAAGCTGTTAGGTAGATGATGGCAGTGATGAAGATGATGATCCATCTCTAGGAAACTGTAAATAGAAACTGTAAATAGAAGCTCCGTTTTTTTTTCTTTTCTTTCTTGTACAGTAGATTCGACCAGGCCGTTTGGTGACAACAGTTTGACGTGTTCATACTAGATTTTGTCAGAGTTCTCTTCATTGTGCCTTGTGTGTATGTATGTGTGTGTGTGTGTGTGTGTGTGTGAGGAGACCGATCAAGATGAGACTGGTTGGACTTTAAAGGGTCCAAGTGAGACGAGTCGGTGGACAGTTTAAATATATTCTGAATGTACATAAGCAAGTGGAAGCTCTTGTTGCGTGATGCCACAGAGTCTGTGTATATAGGAGGGCTCTGCAATAGATTACCTTTGGTTTTTGGTACTCTCGTCTTTTGGGGAGGTGACATTTTACGTTCAGAGTTACAGAGAGAGGAAATGATTTGCACACTATATTTTGATTGTTTTTTGTACCAAAGACACATGCAACGAAAAATGGCGTACCAGCCAGTTAAAAGTAAGGTTTTGCACAGCTTACCTGACGCCGTATTGAATGTAAGAAATGTGGGAGGGTCAGGGAACTTAATAGAACTGTGAAAATGAGTTTGGGTCCAATTCTGTACAGAAAAGGAACATTCATTTGTGTTTTGGTTTTCTTTTTGAAGTCTAAAAACGTAAAGCTCCAGTACATTTTCTTTGCTTTTAGGAAGCACGCAATTCCTGAGCGGATTCCTCCCTCCACATGTTCCAGTGTGTTAAAGGCGCTAGACAGGACAAAACGGCGCTCGTAGATAAGCTATGTTACTTTATTTTCTTTTCGCTAGTTTGACGAAACGTCGCCGACAATAACCAAAATGTTCCCGTGTCACTTGTTTCATTTCTGTATCTAGTTCACGAGCAAATTATTAACAGTTCATGTTTAAAAGTACTGTATATAAATAATAATTCTATATCTATCAATAGTAAGATGCCACTTTTCATGACAATGATTAGTTTTTAAGCATGTCACATTTCTAAAGCCTGTTCTTGCATCAGATATTAGAGGCAAAAACACAAAAAAAACAGGTCTCATTATATTTTTGTATGTTAGCTGCCTGCTCGTTCTTCTGTAAGCTTGAGGGTTTTTCCTGGTCGGAGAGGAAAAGCGAGGAAAGTGTTTTAAAATGCAAATCTAAAGAGCGACACTTTACTCCTCTGTTGTTCTTGACTGAGTGAACTAGGGCCGGATTGTTGCAGACACACAACAGCAGAGCCTCACTTTCATTCGACCGGGCCTGTGAGGAGGACGAGGAGGAGGGCGTACTGTCTTTAATGAGGACAGAGGGCAACACTGTGGAGGAAGCAGCTGTAGTGCTATCTCAGCTGCGAGAAAGCCAAAGCCTTTACACTCACACTGATCTGGGTTCAGCAGCACTGTGCTCTCTCCTTTACTCCTTTATTTTTTAGTTTTCCTTTCTGAAACCAGATGAAGTTTGCCCGTCCTGGGATTGTTGCCTTTGGAGTTGCATTGTAGAACTGAGTCTCACCTTGCCTTCGGTTTTGCAGCTTTCTGCGCCGATCAAACCACGTAAACTCAGCTCAGGCCATCAGGAGGCACACACTGCAGTTCAGAAAACCCCCAGTACACTGTCTCCCTGTTGCTCCTCAGAGGAGACGTACCGTTCCCAGGAACTGTCTAAACTCAAACACCACAAACATATAAATCAAGCGTAGGTTTCGGGACGCTTTCTTCCACAGAGCTCTGTCTCAATGACTGTGAGGTGCTGTGACCCGTCTGCGATGTGCGTCTGAGTTACGGCTATTTACACACGTAGTTTTCCGTCTACTGAAAAAGGGATAAATGGTGCTTTTCTGAAACTAGATCGACAAGTTTCCAAGTTTCACGTTTGACTCCTCCAACTAGTTGTTGCCTAGTAGCCTGCCTTGCTCTCCCCTACCGTCCAGTTATTTTCTTAGTCGTGATACGTTTTGTAAATAAGCTATAGGTTGATAAGTAACTTCTAAATGTTAGATATATATATATATAGTTTAATCTATCTTATATGTTTAAAATCAGCACTTTGTCCAAAAAAATCCAAGAAAAAGGAAAAAAATAATCATTATTTTCTTCCATTTTGCTGCTAAATGGCCTTGTGTGAATGCTGCAAGTGTAACTGATGACTACTTGCTCGGATAGGTCTATTACCTGGTGTGGCTAGGTCTGTGAGCTAGCTGAGGAACATGTGAGTGTGTGTGGCTTGGCAGGGGTTAGATCTACTCATTTCTGGGGCCATGAAGTGATGTGAGGTGATGTGGCTTTGGTGAATCCCAGGGTCCAGATGGGATAGATCTACTTCCTGGTCAGGTTAATGATGTTTGTGGTCTTAAAACAAAAAATATATATAAAAAAAAAAAACAGAAAAAAAGAGGGTTTTGATTCCAGGGCCCCTACGCTGATTCTGATGCTGACCCCCCTTGGCGTCATGATTCATTTTGCCGTCAGTACAGGTTTCCTATGGAAAAACTGATTCTGCTTTGGCTTCCTCTTCAGGGCGATGTACAGTGTAGACACATTTCTTCAGAGAGCTATATTGTTATCATTTGTAAAACTGATTTCTACTTGTGACTTAAAGAGGAGGGGTTTAGCCTGAGGCGGCCAGGAAGAGCTCATTTGAAAAGCCGTTGTTCCTGGCCGCCTCGGGGGAAGTTATTATATCACTGTACTGTATGGCAAGCCAATTACAAAATGGAGACTCAATCCGGACACTTATTGCCTTCTGAAATAACTTTTCACATACTCGCAAACAAAAATAACAACATGGCAGACGCGTTTGTAGCTGTGATGCACACCTGAGGTTTATCTGCCTTTCTGGTAAACGACAACAACAAAACCATTCAGCTTGATTGGCTCAAAACAACCTGAAGTAGCAGGCGTGGTAGGAGCTGTATCTGAAGAAACCATGGCTTCAAAACTCCGCATGGGTATTTCCTGACAACATTTGAAGCGTTTTTCTTTTTTCTCAGCTATGGCTTGAAACCAGGTCTGGTAGGGGTTAACAGTGGTTGAAGGGCCGCTGGTTGACGGTCGTCTGACTAAAGAGGGCTGTGTGTTAGCGAGTGTGTGTGTGGTTTGCAGTCGATCGCGTGGCTGTTTCAAGAAAGCGTCCTCGCAGGTTTTTACGTGATAGGCGCAGGCTGTGCAACTTTACATTCAAACCAGGAGACTCTGTGGCATTTTTAAACAGTTGAGGAAAGGAGTGAAAATCCACGCCAGTAAAAACTATTCCTTTATTCTCCTTTTTTCTTTCGGACAAAAAAAAAAGACTTTTAAGCTAATAGAGTGTGTAACTTTGTGCTACTCTTGTCTAATAAAAGCTACGTGGATCCATAAAGCTCTTCTTCAGCAAATCAGGGTAATATTGTTCTTCTATCTGACGTGTGATGACGTATAGAGTCAAAAGATTATATATTTATGTATTCCAGTTATTGTCGCCATTCTTTACTCTGTACAAAAGAAATATAGTGTCTGTCTGTGTGTTCTGGATTGTTAATGTCAATCACTATGGTGCAATGCTCTATACACAAGTGATAGAAAACAAAAGGCCAACTGACTTTAAACAAATCTGCAACGTTTTCCTTTTCATGAAGGATTAGACTCTGCTGTATCCAATCAGAGTTTGTCACATGGTGCTTATTATGTTTTATTCTCCAAGACTTCTATCTTTTCCCCTGGTTGTTTTTATCAGTCCTGATTTGTATTTCATGATGGGCCACTCAAAAGGAGGATTTACAACAATTATGGCTCTCATCGGTGAGAGAATGGCGATTTCTTTTCCTGTGTAAAAGCCAGTCTGCTGGAGTCGACAACACAAGCCAGAGTCAAAGAGGCACATCAGAAAATGTGAAGTCTGGTGTGTTGGACTTTTATGTTTTGAATCTTTGTGTAGAGAACAAGTTCAGAAGAAAAAAAACTTGGAAATTTTAAATAAGATTTCTTTAGTGGCATGGCTAATTAATACAAAACCGCTAAACAGGTTAAAGGTGGAATATGAGATGTTTTTCTTTGCCATTCATACAAACCACTTGCTGAAATACAGGAGTTAAAGGTCCAAACTCGTTTTTACAGGCTCCACCCCCAGCTGCACCTCCAGAATACAGGAACACGCCACGCTTGTTTCCAAGTGTCCTAATGTTTTATGTTTTTCGACCCATTGTTGGCACCTTTTCTGCGATAATTCCTAACGTATCTCACCTGCGTAACCGTATAATAATTTAGTATGCTTGCTATTATAGTGTGGCGTTTTTATTGTGAAAAACAAGGCTGTTTTTATCTTTCTTGGTTTATTCTTAACTGCAAAATCACTGCAGCTCAGTGCCACCAACGATCTGGGAAATCCGAGGGCTCTGCCACCTGAAAGAGGGCAGGCTGCGTTCACAGACAACAGGTCCATCACATAAACGTTTCCCAACAATAACAGAGCCAGACTCTAAACAGAACATTTAAAACATCTCCTTTATTAAATTTGCAAACGTCAAGCTGAACGAAACATCCCATCTAGCTAGCTCGGCTCTGGCGTTGCTTCGTTTCAGCTGCTCCAAGCCAAGAATACATGATTCATACACATAGGCAAATGCGCAGAGAGGTAGGGGCAGTCAGAAGGAAGTTTGATGGATGGATTAGGATCCAGTCATTATAAACAGGATGGTCACAATTATTACATGAAGTTTTTACAACATTTTTTTGACTAAACATTTAAATCATTCGTTTCCATTGGTTTGTAAAGACTATTTCAAGCAATATGGCAAGAAATGCGCCAGGAAAACATCATGTCCCACCTTTAAAGCTGCACTTGTCACCATGACCATATATAAAATATTTACAGTACGACCACCCTAAAGTATCATCTTTAGGGTCACTGTTGCTGTAAATAGAAGTTTTGTTCCCTCAAACAATCTAGTGTTTGGACCGGTAGAGGAACAGAAATTAAATTTCCAACTAAACAAAGTCAGTTTAAAATTTTTAAAATATTATGTCTAACCATATTTATTGGTTTATATTTTATATTTATTATTATATAAAATAAAGTATTTCTGGTTTGTTGGATTTGTGAAAACCTCTTGCTGGCTGTGCTGTCAGACGTCAAGAGTCTGGCTTTGGGTTTCCTCTGTATCATTTCAAACCTTTCCATTTATTTTTATTTTTTACACCCTTATCAATTGTTTAAAAGCACCTCCTCTTTAGAGACCTTTAGATCGTCCTTATTTGACCCAAAACAAAAACGCAGCAGGAGATCAGTTTCTGCATGACAATTCCTTGCACAGCGCTGAGAGAATCAAGTTAAGTCTGAAAATGATTTGGACTTTGTTGTCGCAAAGTTGTTGCATGGCTTTTTCTGGGGCTCTCTGTACTCTGGGTTGTATGATTTCATACTTGCTGCTATTGAAGGAGCACAAAGAGACTTAAAATTTCAATTCTAAAGTGTCCATGACACATTTACAGTATCTTTACACCACACAAACACACCCTTCTTGATTTATTTTACCTAAAAGTCAATGACAACAGCACTGCTCATCTTGCACTTGGTTTTTACACCTATAAGAAATAAAAACACTTTGAAATATGATGCCTGATGAACCAGGTGCCTTAATCGGTTAGACATGAACACAAATCTGCATTCTTCTGTCCGTCTGCAGGGCATTTCCCTTCAGAAACAAGGAACTGGGTTTTCCAAAACTGAGACTTGAAATACAAATCTAAACTGAAATGCTTGTTTTATTCTGAAAATCACGCTTTTTGTACACCGTCCATCCTCCAAAAGTAGATCGGAGGTGTTTATTATCCCAGGAATTCTCTTCTGAGGGGATGGATCATCCTTTAGTATTACAGTAGAATAGATAACATGTTTTGGAAAACCTGGATCCGATTAAAAACACCCTTTCTCTGCCCACTACGCCACATTATTGTGTTTTCTGTAATGGCTGCTGCTGCTGCTGCAGCTTTCACCGCTGGTGTGTTTGTATCGAGGAGACTGTGTCAGATTCAGAGGGAGACTCGGGTCTGCGTTCCACCTGCTCACTCACTAACGATGCATTCTTCTTCTTCTGAGGTTTTGACAGTGAGCTCTGCGTTGATGCATCTTTAAACATTTTTTGCAAGGAAAAAAAGAAAAAAAAATACATAAAAGATTTCCACTTAAAAACAGAAAAAAAAACTTTGCTATAAAGAAGTGCCAGACCCTCCGTGAAGTCAGCGTTGGCACTGAGTTGCAGGAAACTGAGCATGGAGGTAACCCCGTGGTGCTAATCTGTTCGTGGCTGGGTGCTACAGAAACATGGCTGTGTTGGATTTATTTTAGCCATATTGCTCTTTCTGTTTGATGACTCTGGTCAGTCTTGTGTTCTTCTGACTGCTGCACTGCTGTACGCCGACATAGCGAGGAATAACTCCGTCGAAGCTGCTTCTTTGCCGATGAATGTAGACTAGTCTTCCTCAGCAGGATCACACAGACGGAAGAGAGCGTTTGGAGCTTTGTCCCTGTTTTCCAATGTCTGGAAACTCAGAGGGAGACTGGTCATCAGGAGAGAGAAAGATCTCGAACGATGTAACTTTATGTGGCCTCTTTTGCTTTTGTGTGTTATTTTTAGTAAAATCATGCTTTAGTATTTTGATGCTCTATGTCAAAAGTTGCACGTTTACTAGTTTTATTCTGAAAATATATTTAGTCTGTTTTTGTTTTGATTTTAAATCCCAGTGTTCCAAATATTTTATGTATTTATTTATGAAGTCAGATCGTTTAAAATGCAATTAATAAATGTAGAGATTTAAGCTTTTCCACTGAAGATGTCGCCTAAATCAAAGTCACAATTAAAGGTTTATATGCTGTTAGTTGCAATATTCTTCTAAAACCTTTATTTTCTGTCCGACTTCCTGTTTGGTGAGTAGAATTAGATCTGTTGGAGCAATAATGAAATGGTTTTAAGGAACTCTGGGTGGGACTATTTCCTGGCCTGGTTTGAAACAAATTAGCTATGCTGTTAGATTGCAAAACTATATTTACTTATGAATATTTCCAAAAACCTTCGTTATGGTTGATTCAAATCCTCGAAACACCTTAACTCTTGAAATGACCTGATCAAACCATAAGACGTGAAGTGTTTATACACAGACAAGCGATTTTCCCTCCTTTTTTTCTAAAGGAGACCGAATTTAATTGTGATTTTGACTAATTTCTCTGTGCGAGGACCATAAAACATTCTGTCATTTGAGGTTTAACAAGGTCAGAAACCTTAAACGGGTCTGCCAGTCTTGAACCTCACCTCGACACGACTCCTTTCGTCATGACTTTGGACCGAAGTTCTAGGTTAGGTTTAGGAGTCGACTCACTGGGCGACTGTGAGGAAAAAGAGTGAGTTTTGTGGAAAAACTTCACTTCTGCACCAGAGATACTCACCCCCCTTTACCTTTGCGTATTTGGTTGTTTATTTATATATTTTTCTTTTAGAAAAAGGGCTTTGGTTTGCTGTCGTTTCATCTGGAGGCCCCAGAGATTAGACAGGGGTCATTGAAGGCTGGTGGGCAGAGACCGCTCACCTTCCCCCTGCAGTGAATGATGGGGGAGGGATTATTTTCCTCTTCTGTAGACTGATTTTACCAAACCACAACCCACCTTCAGTAATAAAAACAAAATTCCTATTTCTACTTTTACACGCGTCAAACTTCTCATCCAACACTGCAGTGATTTACATCTCCTTCCAGACTTGCCAAAACACACAAAGTAAGACATTTTACAAACCTTTATCTGAAAGCATCATTTTTTTGGGTATAATTTAATATTAAATATTTTTATAGGAAATCCATACAAGCCAAAACGTGTAGGATATGGGAGGAATCGGCCATCCTGGGCTCCACAGCTACATGCCGTTGTTATGATGCTTCTGGTCTTGTATGGTTACTTATTGGACTCGATCTACAGCATGGGATCTTTCTGTAGTTAGTCCTGTGTGTGTTCCTCTCCTCAGTCTCTGTAGGAAGGCTGTATTTCATTGCTAAGTCCTCTACAATAGATCTCTTGGTGATTCTAATCTCATAAACCTGCAGAAAGTGTATCCTGCTGAACTAACTCGATCCTCTCTTTAGCAACGACGTCTATATTTGTAGTTCACATATATGCCTGTTTAAATACAATATCTTGATGTGTTAATTTTTATGTTGTATGATAAATGTCGTGTTGGGTTTATACTTTTGTTTTGACTCCATTTTTTTTCTTGAAGGCACAGTGGATGGCTTTATGCACAGGCTTGGAAATGTAAAACTTTCTTGTTTGTACTGTAATGGCCCTTTCAGTTTCAGTTTCTGATGGGTTCTGTTTTTGTTTGTTTCTGGCTGCTCAACATCCCGCGGACACCCGCCCTGAATCTGTTTTGTTTTTGTGCCTCTTTTTTTCTAAACTTTTTTGTTAAATCATTGTTTCTTGTATCAGCCAGGTGTTGGTACTGCAGCTCTGCTTGTAACCACATTAGTCTGATTATGTTTATTGATTTTATTATCAAAACAATAAAACCATTAGCACCCCCACTTTGAGTATTACTGGTTTTCTTCCTTCAAGTTTTTTGCGTCCATCACCTACTGTTGAAAATATGAACAGAGTCTAAGAAGGAGTGTAACAGCTGCATCTTAGACATCTCATGAAGCTTAAAGTAGATGTACAGTTGGATGTCATCTTCGTAAAGATGGTATGAGATTCCTTTAAAAAAGCTCAGCAAGTGCTGGAGAGGAAGCAGATAAAGGAGGAACAGTAGAGGCTCCAGCACCGAACCTTGAGGGACACCATGGGCGAAGAAGGTGGAGGAGGGCCAAAACTTGGGAGATGGCTACAAAGAAGGAATGCTCAAACATAAGAGAACCACTCTAGAACAGTTCCTGATTAGAACTGTAGTTCCTAACCATCATTATGCCAGTCCCACTTAAATCAGAATTTTTAATGTTTAAAGAGAGATTCCACCCTTAAGTCAAAATTTGTCCATTTCTGTATTCCCCAGAGTTAGATAAGTGAGAAAAAAGCACTTTTGTGACCGGCGCAGTAATTCTGCTCTGGCAACAGTCCGTCTGCATTAGCTTAGCATAAACAATGGACATGAATAGCAGGAACTAGTATTTTGTGTGAAAAGTGATTGAAATTACCAGGAATATTTGGTATCTATATTGAATAATTTTAATTACTGTGCCGGTCACTAAATGCTTTTTTCCCACTCACCTAACTCTGGGAAAATAGAAATAGACAAAATTTAATTTACGAGTGGAATCCCCCCCCCCCCCCCCCCCCATTTTGAGCTCATTCCTCTGTATTTTTTATGGTTTTTATTCATTCAATTAAAAAAAAATGTCTCACTTGTTAATATGTTTCAAAACTAACCAGAGATTAGTAAACACACTTTGGATTCCAACATATTAATATTTATGGACTCCACAAAAAAGAAAAAAAAAAAGCCAAACAAACAGCAAAATCTTGGCAGATGACAATATTTCAATATATTACATTAACTGACTTATCTGTTAAAATCTGAATAAATCGTATTTCATTAGCAAAGCGCTTTAAGATATAAATTATATTCAGGCAGACTACTGGTGATGGTATAAAAACAATAAAAACAGTAATCTTCTCTACATCTTCAACGGCATTTTGGACGGTAAGCTATCAACGATGCGTGAATTGCATTGTTGCTTACTGGCTTAACTTGACTACTTCGAGTTTCTGCTAATTTTGAGCCTCCAGCTTGCCGTACAAAAACAACAATGGCAGCCACCGAGGACGTAAACGTCCGAATTTGCGGCCAGGAAATTATAAAATATGACCTGGAAATAAAAGCTCTCATTCAGGTAAGAGCTAAAAGTTGTATAATGTATAGTGATTTACAGGCTTTCACCAAAAACACTACCGTACACACACTGAGAAGGTTTGAAATCTGGACAAAAGTGAAGCTAAGGTTAGCTTAGCAGCACTAGGTGATTACGGACAACTTTATATTTAACAAATTTAGAAAAAAGAAATGTAATCATTTAAAGTCGGTATGATAATATATATTTTGGAGGGAAGTTACTGCCTTCTATAGAATTCTTAAAGGACATTTCCCCCACAAACCTTTACCTTGCAGAGATATTTCAAGCTAATTCCACTCCTGGTACAAAAATAATTAAGCCTTGTGATCCTAGTTATTTTATTAAGGTGCAACAAAGAAACATTAAGAAATTAGAATGAAAACAGATTAATATCAAGTAGCTCTAACGACTGCCAGATCTTATTTTAACGTGATTGTTTAAATAGTTGTTTTGGGGACATTTGAAGATAAGAGAAACACGTGTCATGTAATTTGGTGCAAGTCTGATCAGACTTTGTTTCTGTGTTTCATTCCAAGTCAAAGAAATGTTTTTTTTTTCTTTCATTATTTCTTGTTAACTTTGTATCCTATTATTTTATTCCCGTGTGTGTTCTCCCTGCAGGACATCAGGGAGTGTCCTGGACCTCAGTCTGCCCTCATGGAGCTCAACCTAGAGGTCAAAGAGAAGTTCAGCAAGCTGAGGCTCAGGATACAGGTCAGGCTGTTACCTTGCCTACAATCTGCATTTAAATGCATTGCTTTCAACTGTAGCTGTGTTTTGTTATGCCGCGCCAGAATTTGGAGGAGATGGCGCAAGAGCAAGACAGAGAGTTGGTCAGACTGCAAATCCTTGCAGAAACGGAGAGCCAGCAACGCCAGATGATGAGGTGTCCAGACACAAAATCTGACTGATAGTTTTTGTTTGTTGTGTATACAAGTTAATTTGGCAACCAGCAATTTTACTGATAAATTAGATTGCAAAAGTAGAATTTTCTCTGCAAAACTAGATGTGTTTAGTTGATTTATTGTGAAAAGTGCATGTGACATTAAATGTTTGTTCTTAAATTAAATGAGGAAACTTAAACAAAAAGTTTGTTTCTTTTATTTGCTTTTCCAGCAATCAGGTAGCGTGGAGGAGAGCCAACTTGGCCTGTAAGCTTATGATAGACAACCTGGAGAAGGATGAGCTTCTACAGGGTGGAGATCACCAAAACAGCAGACATAGGTCTGTAAAGTTCTGCTGGAGCCCCTAAACATGAAACAGCTCTGTGAGATTTTTAGTGTTTGTCAGTATCACCTGTTAGGAAACTATAACTGAATTATTGATTTTTTAAAAAGCAACAATTTGCTTCTGGTTTGTGTTTTCCTGAGTGGATGTTAATCAGGAGGAAAAATCTAAGAGAATGTAGGTATTAACGTATTTATTTACAAGTTGTTTGTTTTCCAGTAAGTCCTTTTGATTCTTGTTTGTTTTTTCTTTTTCCTTTTTCTTATTTTTAACTAGTCAACTTATTTTTTCACTTAACAGGTCAAATGATTTTAACTATACACATACTGGTAACTATACATTTGTTGCCTTCGCTCTGATGGTTGAGCAGGATTCAAAATTATTTTGGACTTCCAACAAACTTTGTCCAGTAAAACAAAATGTCTAGTTTTCTCTCCGTTTCATCCCCTGCTTTTCTCTCTGCTCGTAGGAAAGTAACCAAAGAATGTTTGGTAGAAACAAGCGGCAACATTACAGAGTCTCTGATGTCCATCAGCAGGATGATGTCTGAACAGGTGAAGCAGACTGAGGACACCATTGGAGTTCTGGGTAAAAAACAAACACTTATTCAGTTTAAAACCTGGGAACCTCTCCTAATCCAACCTCCTCTCATTAAAACACCTTTGTTCCTCCTTGCTGCAGCCACCTCCTCCAGAACAGTGCAGGAAACCAACGAGGAGTTTAAAAGCATGACGGGGACCATCCACCTGGGCAGGAAGCTGATCTTAAAGTACAACCGGAGGGAGCTAACAGACAAGCTGCTCATCTTCCTGGCTTTTGCCCTGTTCTTCTCCACTGTCCTCTACATCCTCAAGAAACGCCTCTTCCCCTTTATTTAGAGCAACATCTGGACTCAAATGTGGCCTGTATGAGGAGGTTTTAGAAGGACTGCAGATAAACTGGTTACGGGCAGTGACTGTAACAGAAGAAGGTTTTTCAGCGTGTTTAATATAAAACAAACAAAAAAAGATGTTAAGTTTATTTTCAGGTCAACTGTAACATGAATGTTTCATCTTAAGTGACTAAAGCTGCACACTGCCTGATGGATCGCACAAACAAAAAACGTTTTTGATTTCTTTTTCAATATTTATGTTCAAGAGAAACTGTGTGCGTGCTCTGGATGGTTTTAAAGATGCTGTCGTTATGCGTCTGTGGCATTTTCCCTCCCATTGAACAAGGTTGTTACACTCTTAAATCTCCTTCCTCTTCATTTCTCAAAGCTGTGGCACTTTTCAACTCCAAAAATAGAAACCAAGTAGAGATAAAGTGACCTGATCCAGGTGAATTACTGTAAAACTCTGGTCTTTCTCAGGTTGTTGACCAGAGGATGTCAGGATAAGAGTTTAAACCACTTCCTTCTACATTTGAAGGCTCCTGCTCATGCTCAGTGCTGTGTGAATACCAAACACAAGATGTGTTTGAATGAACATTTATTATTTTCAACATGTAGCACAACAATCCTGTAGAAGTACCCGAACGCATCATTACTTTGCCTAAATAATAAAACAATTTATTTTCTAAGTAAATTCTCACTTTTTTTCCTCACAAGAGTTTTTAACATTAATTTTTACAAAATGCTCTTTAATTTTTTATTATTAAAACAAAACCACTCATTAAAAAATTACTAATAATATTATTAAATAATACTTCCTTCCTCTCGGTTGTCTAAAGCATGTGTATTTGTGTGTTTGATGTTCGGTGCTCAGTGTTACAAAACCTATAAATACAAAAACACGAATCGGATTTGAACTCATCAGCTGCACGGGAGCTCTGAACATGTTCTCTGTAGTGTTGGGTGTGTGTGTTCCTACTAGATATATGACACTATGGTTAAAGTGAGGTAGATGACCGGCCTTCATCCTTATTTAAATGTTCGGAGAAAAGATGAATATCAGCCAAAACCTGCAAACAGACTAGATTACGCTGCGCCGTTTTCTCTGAAAGTCCTCCAAAAGTATTTCTATCTGCTGCTGATGCAAGTGCGTAATGTTGGTGTACCCTGTGTGCACCTCCTCCTCTCGCCCACCTACACAGCAGACTCTGTAGAGTTGTCCGACAGCCTCACGGGGACTCTGTCATCCAGCTGGCCTTCTCCTGTCAGATGCTGTCGAGGTTCTGCAGCAGTGATGGGCTGGGCCGCTGCGGGCGGAGGGGTGCTGTGCTCAAGAGCATCCGACTGGCTGAGAGGGCAGGTGTTGGTGAAGCTGCCGCACAGCGCCCCCCAGTGCTGCTCGCACTGGCCTCGCAGCCGCTGTCCGACCCAGACCTGGATCTCGTCTCCGCACCTCAATAGGAAGTTTATCAGCTCAACGTATGGCCTGGTGAAACGTGGAAGGTTGTGACAGGAAGAGAAAACAAAACAAGAAAAAGAGTACCTGAGCTGAGTGTAAGTGTTGGGAGGGAGGGAAGGACGGCCCCATAAGCGGTGATGAATGTAACGAAATACAAGTATTTCTTTACTGTACTCAGTTTGAATTGTTTTTGTATCAGTACTTAAGTAATTTGTCTTAAGGACTACTATTTACTTTTACTCCACTAAATTTTAAAGAAATTATCTGACCTTTCTATTCCACTATTTTTTCTAAAAATATTTAAAAGCAAAAGTACTTTAATTTGTGTTTTACCCAAACGCCACCCTTTGTTGGATGGAGACTGACAACACACTCCCTTGTCCCAGTTCCAAAAGTAACAGTTCTTTGATTAGCATTTTGTCCGACCTCCCCAAAAGTTAAATACTTTTTCCTTTTTTACTTTTGAATGCACCCTTTACTAAATTAACTTATGTCAAAAATGTCTTGGATAATTCTACTTTTACATAAACATGTTTAACCCTCTATCTGTACTTTTACTTAAAGAGCAAGTCACCCCCAAATAAACTTTTTTTGCTGATAAACTAAATAAACGAGTGTCTAATCGTGCTGCAGACACGTGTTGTCAATAATTTGGTACTTCAGTGCATCTTAGTTAAAACTGAAATATTCTGCCTAAAACTGGCAGTGTTGTGCCATCGTCAGGTAAAAACTCTGCACTGTATTTTAATTTAAATCTGCCACCGCTATTGGCTAAGAGGTATGCTATGATGTAAACTGGTACATTATGATGTCACAATGCTGTCGTGAGCCTGAGTGTGTGTGTATTTGTTAGCGGCCCCGCCTTTTCGGTCTGCCCGGCAACAGCATCTGTTGCATTTTTCAAACATGAAGTGGGAGTGGAGTTAGACTCTGGTAGGGGTTGACTTGCTCTTTAAGTTAACCTAAAACCCATGTTTTTGGACAGCATAAAAACTAGAGTTCTTTGTGTAAACAAGACCTTCAAACTGGGTGGAAACAATGTAAACAAATATAAAAAAGTTGTAGGAAGGAGCCGAGTTTTATATAAGGATGATGGATTGCCCTCCTCACCCTGTGGGAAACATCAGGTGGAACTGGACCAGGCTTCCCATGGTGTCAATGTGGTCCTGCAGAGCGAGGCAGAGGTTGTGTTTGGAGTAGCACTCTCTCTGAAGTGAGAAGACCATCTCTCTCACTGCAGAGCATCGGCGGCTCACACAGCTGAAACGCTGCCGCAGTCCCGCCGCTGTGCATCGCAGCGCATCCTTCACAAAGGATTTCCCCTGGGGTGCAGAAGATGGTATTTTACAACATTTTAATGACTCAAGTAACTCTCTTATTATTATTATTATTACTCTTTTTAAATATTAGGTACTTTTAAAAAGTGGAAGCTTTTAGGGCATTAAAGAAGCCAGAGGTGAGAAGAGGAGGGGGTTGGTGTAAATCCTCTAAATTGTGCAGAGGATCATTTAAAATGTGGACGTTCTTCTGGGTCTTTAGCTTTAAGATTTGGGTTGTTTTGTTGATGTGAATTGTTTGCAGGATGCTAGCAAACTTAGCAACAACTCAGAAATTTTCACCTGTATCACCGCATCATGCAGGTAAAATTCAGCTCTTGAACAACAGCTTAGCAACCTTTCATCTTTGTGATTTTCTAAAAAAGTCACAATTTCAGTGTCTTCAACTCAGTTTTTTATGAATGGGGCTTTTCCACAGCCCATACCTTATTTTAACTGGAATGCTGGAACTTCCATTGTTTATAGCAGCTTGGGAGAGATGTTTAAAACTGGAAATTTATGGGAAATCATGTCTAAAGGGTTTGTTAACCTTTTCCCACCTGAATCCTTGCAGGACTGCTCGTCACTGCGAGAACCTGCATCACTTTCTTGTACATTTCTATTCTAGTAAAGTGGACACGCTGTTCCTTCTCTCATTTCAGAGCCCCTCTCAGATTGTTCTGTAACCAATGCTACTACCCATAACTTTACTCTGCTCCTTATACATCATACATTCCTCACAAACGACCTTAATGACTGATGGGATTAAATGAAATAAAAACTTGTATCCAGATCCGTCTTCTTCATCCCCACCCAGAAAGCTGCTGACAGACTGTCAGTGGGTCCAGGAGGGGACCCAGCGGAACACAAACCGCTCTGACTTATTTCTTGTGGAAGTGTGACATGAAATCAGAACATCCGAGGAGTCCCACCTGGGAGTCAAAGTGCCCGGCATTGTGCAGCAGGGTGAGACATATGTGGTGCAAGCCTTGGATTTCACAGGAGTTGTTGTTGAAGCACTGAAACATCCCACAGCCGACATTTCCTGAACTCACCAGGCAGCTCTGGATCTCAGCTGGAGAGACAGAAACTAAGATCACTGATGGAGCATCTCCCGCTTGCACAGCATTATATTCCAATATTTTGCCAAAACTAGGCTGCTTTTATTCACTTCCGACGACCCAAATGAGCTGTGTTTCTTTTCAGTGTGGCAATATAAACATACTTGATCTTTTAAAATGTGTTATTTTAAGCAAATCTTCATAAATTGCTCCAAAACACTGTTTTTGCAGCTCAGGGCATGACCACTGTGGGTCAATGGGGTCAGCTGGTAAACAGATCACCTCTTGTTGGGGGTTTTAGTTAAATTTTAACCAGTTATGACTGACTCCTTTCATTCATTGCTGCTGTTGATGCTGTGCAGCCTGCAGGAGTCGCCTGACGCGGAGGGAATGCACACAGGATGGAGTCACCAGATCTAAACTCGATCATGCAAACAAGAGACTGGGATTTCAGCTGCCCTTCAGCTCATTTTAGAATTGATCGGATAATGAATGACTCCCAGCAGCAAACCGACCATTTTCATTGTCTGATCGCACTTTTACGCACACGCGCCAAAGAGAACCTCTAAATCACCTTGCACATATTCTAAAAGAAGTGGCCACATTTCTGGAGCCTGCAAAAAATGTGTTTCAGGGAGTCCGACTCACCTGTGTTTTGCAGCGAGAGGCGGTTTTTGACACCCTGTTTCTCCGGAACATCATGCAGCTCCACGGCCAGCACCTGATGCCACGCCAGCAGCAGGAAACCCCCAACGCCGGACAGGTTCATCATTCACAGGAGGCTGCTCTGTTATGGTTTCAATGAAACTGGTTCGTTTATTTGGAGGAGTGAGGCCGCAGAAAATGTGGCAGCGGCATGAGGGGGTGGAATATAAAGCTGAGAGGAGAGCTGCGCGTTCACCACAGAGAAGAGCGCTCTCCACCAATCGCAGCGCAGCTCCGTGAACGCGCAGCACACGTGGAGCTGAAAGTTTAGTGTAGGGAGGAGTGCGGGTAACTTGTTTAATAAAGCATGAAACTACTCACGATGATAGGAGGATACGAGAGGATGCTGATGCAAACACCGGGAGACGCGAAGAATCTGGCGCTCCAAACCGATCCCAATAAACCAGGCGACGCGCATGCGTATTTGAGGGTTCGCCGTTAGAAGCAGGGAGACGTGCAACGAGGAACGTAGAGATGTAAAAATGCTGAGTTTCTCCAGAATGTCAGCTTTATAAACGTTTCATTTATTTCTCCCCTCAAATTTAAACCATCCATGATGCATTAACGGCTGGAATAAGTCATAACCTTAGTAAATTAGAAGCAAATGTGCCAAACTGCATTTTCTTCCCTCTGAAGAATAACAAACTATTAGAGCAAACACTTCAATGTGTTTTCTGTTACTGGAATCAGATGTGTCACATTTATTTTATTCACATGTTTAATAATGTCTATTGATGTTGTAACACTAGCATTACTATAATTTCAGCAGTGTGAAAGTTATAAAACATACTTTATTATAATTATGGTTGATGGCTGCATGATCAGCCTCTGTTTGTAGAAATAGCTTATGACCAGGAGGTCTGATGAGCTAACAGCTGGCCCAAGGTCAGCTCAGATCAAAGAGCATTGCAGCTTCAATCTCTAAAATTTCAGAGCACTTCATGCAAAATTGTCTTAGAAGTGTTTGCACCAGTAACAGTTTATACACTACATGGTAGGGCTGAACAATCTATTGTTTTTGGACCGAAATTGCAATTTCAAACAGCACGATCATGTGACTGCCAAAATAACGTATGTCATCACAGACAAAACAAAGATGTTGATGTTTTAAAGCAAAGTGTGAACTAGACAAACGAAGAGCTAAAACCAGAGTGAACATCAGCACGACCTACAGTAGTTGTAATTCCACTTTCAACCAGTAGGTGGAGAAGCGGGAAACTTATTACGTTTTACTTTAAGCAACTGGAAATCTGCACACGTCTTTTATTTTGAAGTTTCCAGATGTTTTACATTGCTCTCGTGTTTGACTGTGAGTGGTTTAATCTGAACTGCTGAACTTGACTCGTTCTGGAAGCATAGCCTGTAAAAATTAGACTCGAAGTGTAAATTTATTAACCTAGACGCTCACCAACCGACTGTAGCAGTAGCAAAAAGATTTTGCTCTGCAGGTCGGTCCAGCCACGCTCAGTTGTAGCCTCAGCAGGTTTACCATTGGCCTGATACCTCTAACAAACTGGTGTCGACTGTCATGGTGTGCGTCCTGCGTCCCCCTCATGTCTTCTCCAGCCCCCCTCTAGGTTCCCCTTATGTGTCTTCTTGTGTTCCTCATGTGCCTCCTTGTGTTCCCCAGCCCCACTCCAGGTTCTCCCCTTAGGTTTCTGTGCCCCTTCAGGTCTCCAACTCCCAACGGGTTTTCCCAGGTTCACTTGTTCTTTAGTTTTCTTTGTATTTATATTATCTAGCTAATTTTTCCCTGTAGTTTCTTAGGTTCAGGTTTTCTAGGTCCTTCCCCATCGGTTTATTAGTTCTCATTTCCTCCTTAGATCATTAGTTATTTGTCTTGTTCTTCTAGTCTTTAGGTTTGGTTATTTTTCATAGGTCATGTTTTATTTCCCTTCCTCAGCTTAGTTTCCTCTTCTTGATTAGTAGATTGGTTTCTCTCTCCCCACGCACCTGCAGCTCATCTCCCAATCATCCTGCCCCTTTGTATAAAACCCTGTCTGCGTCTCAATGCATTGTTGGTCCATTGTTTGTGTCAGCGTTGCCTCGAGCTCTCCGGGTGAGCTCTCCGGGTGAGCTCTTTGTCTCTTGGTCACTTGGTTATTTCATACACGGATTTTCGGTTTTGGCTTCCTGCCTTTTGGATTTACTTTTTGGACAATCACTCCTAATAAAGGATTTTACGTTTATTCCAACTCCTGCCTCGTGTCTCCCTGGTTCTCCTGGTTGGCTCAGATATCGGTAAAAAGATGATAATGATGCTCCCTAATTCTACGTTATGTTTTTCATTGTAGATGAATGTTTTTATCTTAAATGTCATGAGAAGAGTTATTACTGATGTTATAGAGTCACAAGAGCTACGAGGGCGACCCAAAAACCAATGGTTCTCCAGAGTTTCATCGTTTCACCTACTCAACATTCAAGAAGTCTTTAGTGTGTGTGTGTGTGTACGGATGTTTGTGTATTTGTGGCGGTGGGAGGTCAAGGCATTTGGAAAGTGTGTGTTTAAGTTTGTGTTCATACGGGGGCCCAGTTGCAGAAGACACACTCTTACCAAGGCTAATGTTTAGACAATGGAAGATGTTTTTTTTTAAATCTTAGTTCACTTTTCAAAACAGCGTTCAGCCTCAGTCACAAAACCTCTGATGGCCTCCCACACAATGACCTCTCACCACACACACACACGTATACACTAATGCACTCTGCAAACAGCAGCCATGCATGGCCTTCTCCCACATGCTCGTATCGTAAACATCTGTCTCTGTATGTTTATGCAAAACACAGAACAGACTCAACTTTCTGCCTTGTGGGGATTGATGTGAATCTTTACATTTTAATTTCATGACCACAGTTCAAAGCTCAGGGCTTCAACACAAACCACCACATGTTCCCACAGCCTCTGACACATTTACATTAACATGGATCACATGGTCATCCCAAATACAAAAATCAGGTAACTGAATCAATAATGTTACACAGACTCAGAAATAAGGTTAAATAAAGGTCAGAAAGTGGAAAGCCTATAAACAGATTTCTGAAGGAAACAAGACTAGGAGCTAGGAGGTATGTGGAGGAAAATGGTTTCTGAACATGCAAGTTTGTTACACTTTTGTCTAACTACAACCTAAAACTCTGATTAGATAGTCAGGGTTGTCCTCTTGTATAAATCTGAACATCCTCTGAACGTATCCAACATCCTTTACAATAATTCTGAACGGTCAATGTTCAAAAATAGAAACAGACATGAAAAATATTGACATATTTGTCTAACCGTTGACATTATGAGCCACCATTTTGCTCATTAGACCTGAGATTAATTCAATTCAATTCAAGTTTATTTATATAGCGCCAAATCATGACAAGAGTCGTCTCAAGGCACTTCACATAATAAAAATTCCAATTCAGGTCAGTTCATTAGGCCAATCAGAAATAATGTTTCCTATATAAGGAACCCAGCAAATTGCATCAAGTCACTGACTAGTGTCAGTGACTTGGACAATTGCTGTAAAGTCATGACTAGTGTCAGTGACTTTACAGCAATCCTCATACTAAGCAAGCATGCAGCGACAGTGGAGAGGAAAACTCCCTTTTAACAGGAAGAAACCTCCAGAGAATCCTGGCTCAGTATAAGCAGCCATCCACCACGACTCACTGGGGATCGAGAAGACACACACACACACACACGCGCGCACACGCACACACACACACACACACGAACAAGTGTGGGGGGACTGGTGCCTACAGTGGTGTGAAAAACTGTTTGCCAAACTTCCAGATTTCTTATTCTTTTGCATGTTTGTCACACAAAATGTTTCAGATCATCAAACACATTTAACCATTAGTCAAAGATAACACAAGTAAACACAAAATGGAGTTTTGAAATGATGGTTTTTATTATTTAGGGTGAGAACAAAATCCAAACCTACATTGCCCTGTGTGAAAAAGTAATTGCCCCCCTTGTTAAAAAATAACCCAACTGTGGTGTTTCACACCTGAGTTCAATTTCTGTAGCCACTCCCAAGCCTGATTACTGCCACACCTGTTTTAATCAAGAAATCACTTAAATATGAGCTGCCTGACACAGAGAAGTAGACCAAAAACACCTCAAAAGCTAGACATCATGCCAAGATCCAAAGAAATTCAAGAACAAATGAGATCAAAAGTAATTGAGATCTATCAGTCTGATAAAGGTCATAAGCCATTTCTAAAGCTTTGGGACTCCAGCGAACCACAGTGAGAGCCATCATCCACAAATGGCAACAACATGGAACAGTGGTGAACCTTCCCAGGAGTGGGCGGCTGACCAAAATTACCCCAACAGCGCAGAGACAACTCATCCGAGAGGTCACAAAAGACCCCAGGACAACTTCTAAAGAACTGCAGGCCTCACTTGCCTCAATTAAGGTCAGTGTTCACAACTCCACCATAAGAAAGAGACTGGGCAAAAATGGCCTGCATGGCAGATTTCCAAGACGCAAACCACTGTTAAGCAAAAAAAAAAAAAAAAAAAAACATAAGGGCTCGTCTCATTTTTGCTAAGTAACATCTCAATGATTGCCAAGACTTTTGGGGAAATACCTTGTGGACTGATGAGACAAAAGTTGAACTTTTTGGAAGGCAAATGTCCCGTTACATCTGGCGTAGAAGTAACACAGCATTTCAGACAAAGAACATAATACCGACAGTAAAATATGGTGGTGGTAGTGTGATGGTCTGGGGTTGTTTTGCTGCTTCAGGAACTGGAAGGCTTGCTGTGATAAATGGAACCATGAATTCTACTGTCTACCAAAACATCCTGAAGGAGAATGTCCGGCCATCTGTTCATCAACTAAAGCTGAAGCGATCTTGGGTGCTGCAGCAGGACAATGACCCAAAACACACCAGCAAATCCACCTCTGAATGGCTGAAGAACAACAAAATGAAGACTTTGGAGTGGCCTAGTCAAAGTCCTGACCTGAATCCTATTGAGATGCTAGGCATGACCTTAAAAAGGTGGTTCATGCTAGAAAACCCTCAAATAAAGCTGAATTAAAATTATTTTCTTTTCCCTTTCTTCAAGGGGTACAGACGCTTCTCTCTTTCGATCCCTTATCTTTTTTCCCAAGGCTCTTTGTCCTGTCTGCCCAGAGCGCTTCTCTGCATTTCTTCTGAAAAACTCTATTTTTACTAACCATGGATTTGATAAACTGGTCATTCAATGTGATAAGATTTTTTCAACAATGAGAACGGAGCAGGGGGCTCCCACATGTCCACAGGGGACACACTCGGTGGGATATATGTTGGATTCCTGGAAGGAGTGGAAGATCATATGCCTCAGCCAGCTGTCCATTGAGGATATCGAAGACGTGTGGATATTTGGCCTGATGATCACTGGATTTCTCCTGATTGGAGTGGTAGGATATCTGGTTTTCTGGAAATTTGGGAAGACGGGAGCGATTGGAGGGCGACCCGCACCCACGGAAAGCACCGTCTGTGTGGAGACTCATGTTGTGTTGTCTGAAGTCTGTTGCATATCTATTTAGGTGTTTTTTTTTGCAGAGCAAAGCTGCCCTCCTGGTGGGAGGGTAACTCTGACGTGCCTTTTTTTTCCCTCCATGTAACCCTCTTATCTCTGAGGTAGCGCGACTCGGGTTGCGAATGACCAGTCACCAATTCTTGTCATGTGTCTTGCCCATGTATGTCTGATCTCTGAATTGTGAGTACTGAAACTCTAATTTCCCTCTGGGATTAATAAAGTATTGACTGATTTCTGCAAAGATGAGTGGGCAAAAATTCCTCCAGAGCACAGTAAAAGACTCGTAGCAAGTTATCGCAAACGCTTGATTGCAGTTATTGCTGCTAAGGGAGACCCAACCAGTTATTAGGTTCAGGGGGCAATTACTTTTTCACACAGGGAAATGTAGGTTTGGATTTTGTTCTCTCCCTAAATAATAAAAACCATTTTAAAACTGCATTTTGTGTTTACTTGTTATCTTTGACTAATGGTTAAATGTGTTTGATCAGAAACATTTTGTGTGACAAACATGCAAAAGAATAAGAAATCAGGAAGGGGGCAAATAGTTTTTCACACCAGTATCTCCAGCGGTCAATGGGCAATCAGGCGGGGTACACCCAGCAGACAGCCAGTAATTTAGTGTAATTAAAATGGCTAATTTAAGGATTTGACTTTTGACACAATGGTACTATTATCCCATTTAGTGTGAAGTCTGAAAGCTTATCGTTTTACCAAATAAGTGACTGCACTGGTAATATAAACAAATATTTCCACAACTAAAAGTAAAAGCAGACAAAATAATTAAAACTAACGGTTCAACAGTCTTTATTAAAACAGAATTCAACAAGCATTAAAATCAACCAAGTTGTGATGAGAAATATCTACCCCTACCAATCAGAATGGGTTTCCTGATTTTATAGTTGGACCTCTTCTTTCTAAATCTCCCAAGAAAAAAACAATTTCTACTGAATATTTGCAAATCTAAAAATGGAAGTTTATTACTAAAATATCTAAACACACAAATAGCTTTAGAGAAAAATGTGCACGATTTTTTTTTAATTGAGAGAAAACAAACACCCCTCACACATCCCCCCCAAAAAAGGCAGAGCTGTTCAGTGCAGCAGTTTTTGCACACAAACAGGCTTTGAAAATATCCTTTAAACCAATGATGGAGAAAACAACCTCCTCATTCTCACACTTATGCCCATTTGTCCATTTTAAACTGGTCATAGACCAGTTTTTTGTAGGGAATACCTCAAGGGGTTTTGGGGCCGGAGGCACTAGTGGACTCTTGTGTTTCTGTCTGTTCGGATGCTGCAGGGTTAGAACTTGAGGTGCTCTCTTCCTTCCGATCCCCTGAGAGAAAGTCATGAACAGCAGTTTCTATCTCTGGCCGGAAAGTGTGGTTCATCTTTGGGTCCACAACCTGAGTTATAATCCGGTCCACACCAGACTCCAGCATGCCTGATCTGGAAAACAAAACGGGGACTAAGACATAACATCCAGTGGAAACATGTGATACGACTAGAATAAATAATATGAGCACACTTAAGGTGTGTGCATTAAACTGTATTTGCATTGTACTCCTGTAAGATATTAGGATTGTACATTTGCATTAACCTCAGCTGTATATTAGTTTTTGTATTGAAACTTACTGAACAACACTTTGTCTGAGTCCATTTCTCATCTGGTTCTTGTTGATGGTCGGGGTCCAGTCCTGTGTGCTCAGATGGGACGTGACGAAGTTGTCCACCTTCTGTCGCAGGTTCTGATAGGCAGGCTGCAATTCATAATAAACCAAATTTAAAATATTAAATATTACTGAGCTCTATAATCAGTAGCGAAAAAGTGATTACCTTTGTGTCAACATCGGCCAAACAGTCCCGACGAAACTCGTCAAAAAGTCCCCGGTTCTTTAAATGCTCCACAATCATAGCGATAAGCTGCGGGTCTCCCGGAGGAAGGCTGGCCGGGTTAACATTCCCACTACCCTCCGCCATTCCTAAGCTTGGAGCTTATTTACCTGTTAGCTGCAGCTAAAGAGACACCTTAGCTGCAGCTCAACTACCTACGAGGAGTGGGCTCCCACTGTCCTGCCAAACATGCGCTCGTTTCATACACCTTAATGAGTTGCAGGCGGGGTGATTGTAGCTTTGTGTCATTAAAACTTGAAACGGAAATACACCAGTGCTCAAATCAAACGCGTTCGCTTTTGTAGGTCACGCATGCGCATTATAACGTGACATCGGAAGCATTTCATTCAAGCGTCTTCGCGCACTGAAGGCGAAAATAACAGGGATTTAAAAAATAGAAAACAAGTCGATGCGTTTTATTATGTTTTAACACGCAAAAGCGGAGTTACTCAGGCAGGATCTAAGTTGAATGGGTTTATTCTGTGGTTTTTGTCAGTGTGTGGAGCACTTCGTTCGTTTAAGGTAACATTAGCTTTTTTGTGGCTAACACGCACTAAGCTAATTGATCGTAAAATGTAAATAAACGATAACCATGGCGAGGAGAAGGTCACATCAGCCGCGTAAATGAAATGTACCCGTGGTATTTAATATGTCTATCGTTTTTAGCTAAGTGTGTTATGTTTTCAGTTGTGAAAACAAATTGTTTCAGCATGTTTACATGTTTATGCTATTCGCCATGTGTTTGCGTGATTGCTAGATACAGCTTTTTATTAAGTGAAGGCTTTGACCCATCAATAGCTACTGTTTTGTTTTTGTATGTGTAGAGCTTGAAAGTCTATAAGGCGGAAAACCTCGAATATAGGCACACACATTCTAAATAAAAATACAATTGTTATGATGTATTAATTATTGCATAAAACCATTAAAGTGAACATCTCACTGTTTCAGATGAGTGGGGAATCAAAGGCAAATGAAGAGTTTCTGGAGCAACTCCGAATGCAAGAACGCTATGGGCAGAGGAATGAAGGTGGATCGGATCCCTACACATACACCGATCCAGCAGATGGAACTGTGTATGACTGGGATCATGAAAAAAAGGCCTGGTTTCCTAAAGTATGGACTTTCAGTTTCTTTTTCTGCTTTTGTAGATTTGTCAAACTGAAATGTGTGCTTTTCCTGCACTTATTTTTGTCACACCTTGTTAAATACTTAAAATCTGAATGTTTTTGGAAAAGATGTTAAGTGGTATCTTTAATTTTCAGCCTCTAACAAAGCAAATGAATAAATAAATAAAATAAATATATTGGTATTTTTCTAGATAACAGAAGACTTCATGGCAGCCTACCAAGCCAACTACGGCTTCAGTCAGGAAGGAGATCCAGAAGCAAACAATTCAGCGCTGAGCAGCTCTTGCCCAGCACCCCCTGATCCAAACAGCAATGTGCCAGAAAAAAAGAAATCAGAAGATCCCCCCTCAAATCCTGCTCCAGTTCAGCATGAATCCTCAACTAAAGAAGCCAAGCAGAAAGCGGAGAAGAGGAAAGCAGACCCAGGTACACTAACATCTCTAAAAGTATCTCTTTCCATGGTACAGATGTATGTTTTTATGCTCATGAAGCGGTTTTAAATACATTTAGTTTATCTATTTTTATGATTGTAGGATGGTTTAATGTCGATGAGGACAAAAACACAAACGTCTACGTGTCAGGTTTGTACCTGCAAATATGGAGCAGCTTATTCTCTCTGGTTTCTCACAATAAAGTCTCTTGTCCTTCAGGGCTGCCTCCTGACATCACACCCGAAGAGTTTGTTGAGTTGATGTCCAAATGTGGAATTGTGATGAAAGATCCCATCACTGAGGAGCCCAAGGTGAAACTCTACAAGGACAAAGATGGGAATCTGAAAGGCGATGGCCTCTGCTGTTATCTCAAGGTTCACCCTTCTTACTGCTGCTGTTTCCTGTTTGTTCACATTGGACATAAGTTATATAATTTTGCTCAAATAGACTCTGCAAATCATTCAAAGTCAAACTTTGTGTGTTTACGGCTCCCTGCAGAAAGAATCAGTGGCACTGGCCATGCATCTGATTGACGAGTCAGAGGTTAGAGGTTATAAACTCCACGTGGAAGCAGCGAGATTTGAGCTAAAGGGTCAGTACGACGCCAGCAAGAAGAAGAAGAAAAGCAAAGATTACAAGAAGAAGTTGCAGATGCAGCAGAAGTGAGTTTTCCCACCTCAAATTTAAAGTTTAAAGCTTGTCTGTGCAGCCAAAACTGCTTAGAATAACAAGTCAGGGTAGATCTGTTCTGAGTTAGCAGAACATTAGTGAATATTGTATGACCTCTATCTAATACATACTTCTGATCAATTACAAAAAACTTCATTTCATTATTGAATATTATGAAATGTTCAGAATTTTTCTGATATTTACTCGAGCAATTTCACTTGTTATAATTAAAATAAACACATTTTTGTTGGAAAAATGGCGTGATTTCTCTCAAATTTGCTTATTTTCGTTCATTATTTAGTCCAAAAGAAGAAGCTATTTTTGAAATGATATCCAAAATGTTCAAATTTAGAGTTCATCGTTTCTCAAATTTGCTATTAATTTTATCTAATTTAAAAGCCGTATTCAGAAAAGCAAAAACAAACTAATTTTTGTGTGGCTGGTTAAAGGCAAAATTAAATTTGTGATTGATGACAACATTGCTGATTTAGTTTCTTTGTTCCTCAAAAAAAAGCCAAAAGTCAAAGGAAGCTAGTCTGATCTGACGCTCACATTTTTCTGATGTAGGCAGCTCGACTGGAGGCCTGAGAAGCAGGGAGACGCGAGGAAGCGGCATGAAAAAGTTGTCATCATCAGGAACATGTTCCATCCCAAAGACTTCGAGGTGCAGTGCTCACACACACACACACACACACACACACACACACACACACACACACACGTTTTTATGGGTTTGTGTGGACTACGTTTTCTGAGTTGTTTGTGTGGACCCTGACTTCCACTATAGCCAGAATGGTGCAAAAATTATGTTTAACTCTAGGTGGGACAAAGGAAGCTTACTCTAGGATTTTGGTTGTGTGGACCGGGTAAATGTCCACACAATGGTGAATGTCCACACAATGTTGGTCTCCCGTCAGGGGTTGGTCCACACAAACTCATAAAGAGAAGTACACACACACACACACACACACACACACACACACACACACACACACACACACACACACACACACACACACACACACACACACACACACACACACACACACACACACTTTCAGTATGCTGTGAGTGCTAACCCTCCCTCTCTTGCAGGAAGACCCGCTGGTGCTGAACGAGTATCGTGAAGATCTGAGGACCGAGTGTGAGAAATTTGGTGAAGTAAAGAAGGTCATCCTGTTTGATGTGAGTTTAATTCGCCCTATTTCACCCTCTGGTTTTTATTCACCTGTTATAAAACGCTGCGGTCTGGTCCTTCATTCTGCAGAGACACCCAGACGGGGTTGCATCGGTCGCATTTAAAGAACCCGAGGAGGCAGACGCTTGTGTGCTTTCCTTTAATGGCCGCTGGTTTGGAGGGAGACAGCTGGCTGCAGAGCTGTGGGACGGAACCACCGACTATCAGGTCAGATGTTTTGCTCTGTTCTACATAACAGCATCTCAGGTTCTCTGGCGCTTTTTTTCTTAGATTTAATAACAAAACAAAGACCTGGATAATAAGTTAGTAGTCGGCGGTTTGGTCTGGACGTTGGGCTAAACCCAAACGCGTACCTCTAGATAGAATCAGAATCATTTCTCATGACACGTTTCTATATTTGGGCCACTTCTTTGGTTGCTCGTTTAAAGTGGGTGGATCTTGGGTTTTGTCTCCAGCCAGCAAAAACAAATCAGATTTATAATGTCAGACAGCTGCTGAATCGTTTAGAAGCTGCCAGACATCTTTTGCAGATTTTGATCAAAGTCTAAAAAAGGTTGAGATGCCAAACAAGTCATAAATCTAACAAACATGTCCGCCTAAAGCTCGTCTTCCGTTATTTATTTAGATAAAGCAGCAACAAACAGATTAACTCGAACTCGATGGGGTTTCTGTAGGTGGAGGAGACGTCGCGTGAACGAGAGGAGCGGCTGAAAGGTTGGTCTACGTTCTTGGAAGGAAGTGGTCAACAACAGAACAACAACCAGTCAGAAAGCAGCACAGCCACAGAGCCCAGCGAGTCCAGCAGCAGCGCCACAGAACCTGAGCAGCAGCCACAAACAGAAGCGCAGACCTCAGAGGAACAGGAAGTGGATTCTACTGACAGCAGCCTAGCAGGAAGTGACAACGAGGAAGCGTAGCCGCTTCGGGATCTGAACGAGGACAATCCTGATTTTAAATGGAGGCACAAAGTTCTGCATTTAGAGGAAACTTGGACAGTTTGTGTTATTTTTTGTATCATAGAAAATATAACTAAGCTCTTATTTTCTGTTTTCATCGTTTCAGATTACATTTTCAGTAGATGTGCTCTGAAGAAACGGTTTAGGCCGTAAACATTTTCCTACAGCTGCAGTGTAGTTTGGATTATTCTGATTAGCTAAATTCCTTAAGAAATGTGAGAATAAACTCTGTTAATGTGACCATTAACACTCAGTGCAAATAAATATTCCCTTTACAGTTCAGCGCAACACAAACTCTCATAAAAGGACACATCAAGAAAAATCGCAACCTGCCAGGAAATGCGGTTTCTCATCGTTCGCTAACACAGACGTTCGCGTCCGAGTGTAAACGAACTCTGAGCCGATCTTGTTCACACTTCACATCTGGTTCAAGTTTAGGTTTTAACACAGCACACGTTTAAATAAATGTGTTGGTGGCTCAAACAGAAACTCATCTGTTGTTTTTCATGAAAGGATTATAGATTCAGCCCAGCGATCGTCTCTGTAGGCTGCACAGCTTCAGATGAGAACAACTAGTTTGTGTTGATGTTAAAAAAAACATCGGATAATAACTGACTTTATTCAGAAACAGCTGTTTGGTTTGTCAGGGTCGAAGAGGTTTGACTTATTTCATACATAATAAAAAATAATGCTTTTATTTATGTCTGTCTTACTGCTTTAGTTTTTACCTTACTAGGTTTAAAAATAACCCAAAACGTCGTGATTGAGAGAATTTATTCATTTACGTTGTTTTTAGTTTCAAAACTTGAATTAACTCAAATGAAACATATCAACTCCCTCACCTGCTTGACCACTAGGGGGCGCCACAACCCTGTATTTTTTAGATCTAAGGAGAAATAAGCAACAGTTTTAATGAATTTAAAGAAATAGTGATTTTTATTAAGTCAAATTTAGCATTTAAATGCTTTAATGTGTTTGAACTTTAATTTTACTGTTAATTCTGTCACTAAATAAAAGCTTTGTGAGAGCAGTGAAATCCCCCTTTTTTGACCCTTTTATTGTTTTTTTTTTTATATTTATTTTTTCATCGAATAGTGTTTAGTGGAATTATGAAGATAAACTTTATTTCGATCTTTTAAAGAATGAAAATGTCTTTCACACTTTTTTAAAAGCTGTTTAGTGTCAGACAACCACGTGTGATCAACCCCATAATGGTTCATCATAAACAACATCAGCAATAAAGCATTTTTTTTAAATAACAGTGGATTTAGGAAATTGACTGAATAATATTCTGTTGTAGTGACCAGTTTTTAAGACGAGACTACCATGTAATTAAGGCAATGATTATTAGTGTATTTTTTAACAGAAAAACAAGGAAAATCCCATTAGGTTTATATTCGACACCTTCATGTTTCAGATGAGTTTCAATTCATCATCAGTCTGTTCTGTTCTTTTTAGCCATTTAGACAAAATCCCAAATCCCCATCTCATTTAATTTATTCAGTTTACCAAAATCCTTCCTATCATCCGTACATTTTTTAGGATTCTAGCTGTTTTTTTCCTCTCAGCTATTCTTCCAGAAATCTGAAATTACAACTCATTCACCTTGCATATTTAAAGAGTGCTCTGATTGAGCTCACGTTGTCGTTTTGCAGAAGTTAAAGGGGTAGAACTCTACAACCATTAAAAAAATCTTATTTCTGGTTATAATCGGTCACTGTGAGTTTTTCATGCAGGTTGAACATGAAAATAGTCTCCTACACCTACCTCCTGCATTCGCTTCTGATGGAAAATAGACGGTGAAACTCTGGGATTAGAAAATCCTTCGTCGGCCTCACTTGAACGTTTATCACATAAGCTCTCAAACAGGTTGGACACGTATCACTTGGAGTGGGATCTGTACATTTACAAAATCAACGGTCGTCAGGTATATGGTCAGCAACGCTCCCTCATAAGTAATCTATGACTCACAGCAAAGTTTATGGTCCAATTTCTGTCAATACTTTTATTATTATTGTTATTTTTATTATTAATCTTTTATCGTGGTTTTTTTTTTGTTTTTGTGGTTTTCTTTTTTGGATTTATTTTTGCATTAGATTAATTTTGTATCTATAATATATTCTTTGAATTGTAATTCATTTAATGTACTCAACAGTTTATTTATTGTTGATCATTTCATTTATTTACTTTCCTCTCTCCTTTACCTTAGGCACTAGACTTACACCAGCGATACTAAATGTTGTGTTTAATCCTGCGGTACCCCCATGGATGTAATTTTGGGGGGGGACAGGGGGGACATGTCCCCCCCACTTTTTCCAAAGTCAAGTTTTGACCCCTGCGCTTTTTACCATCCAAAAACAATATTACTTTATATTAAATTGACACTGGTTGAGCTTTAGGACCAAGCAGAAAACAACCGTTTGTGTTGAAGCCTGTTTCCCATTAGAACATACCGTAAAGATACCCCACCCCCACCCCCCCGTGTCCCCCCCACTTCTAAAGTGAAAATTACGTCCATGGGTACCCCTTAATTCTTTTCAGTATACATGCCTGTAGCTCTTTAATTTTTGGTACTCTTTGTATTATTTTCTGTTACACTGTGTCAAAAGATAAAAGTTCAATAAAAAGTTAATATAAAAACAAAACAAAAAGAAAGGCCTTTGTCACACACGGGGAATGCTGTTGTTTTAGCGTCCAGGAAACAGCAGAGAACGTCTAGGCTAGTAGAAGCTAACTGTTAGGATTAGCAACTCCACCACACAGCAGAACTCTTTCAGGCTTGTGTTATTTGTGGAGATAAAACATCCACGTTGCAGTTGCGTTGCTCTTATCCAATCCAAATGGAGACTTCCAAATATCAGGAAATAAGAGTCCAAAACCTGCAATCGTCCGAAGCTCAGCTATGATGTGGCAAAATAAATAAATAAATAAATAATAAACAACATTGTGCCTGGATCAGTTTTTCTTGAATTTTTTACTTTCAGGTAAACTATTTGGCTCTAACTGAGTTTTGCTTTCTCCAACCTGACCTGCTGTAAAATTATTTGAGTTCAGAGGTTAATTTCTTCATTTCAGTTTCGAAGGTCCAGGGCTGGCAGTAATTTCATTACATGAGTCTTTGGCATTCTGCTTGTTTTAGAGCTCCCATTACTACCCATCTGGTTTGACCATAAGAAAAAAAGAACATTTATATTAGCTCGATAAACTTTTTGTGGCAACAAAAACAATAACAAAACCAAAACTTTGTCTCATGTGTTGTTCTTGGAAGGAGGGCAGTTCTTTAAGGCCAGAGTGACTCGTTCTTCCAGTAGACCAAGACAGCAAAAGCTTTAAAACACAAAAACGATGTATGAGTCAAGAAGGAGGTGAAGACTGATATGGGACAGGAGTAAAGACAGAGGAGGAAATGGACAGGGTGCATGAGGGCAGAGCCTGTGTTTGTAAGTGTGTGTTTGGTTCCCTGGAGTCCACCCTGGAGATCGCTTGGGAAAAAGACCTCTAGGTTCGCCCGAGGTCTTAGTTCCTGCCAAGAAAAGCAAGATTAAAATAGAGAGAGAGACATGGAGAGAGAGAGAGAGAGAGAGAGAGAGAGAGAGAGAGAGAGAGAGAGAGAGAGAGAGAGAGAGAGAGAGAGAGAGAGAGAGAGAGAGAGAGAGAGAGAGAGAGAGAGAGAGAGAGAGAGAGAGAGAGAGAGAGAGAGAGAGAGAGAGAGAGAGAGAGAGAGAGAGAGAGAGAGAGAGAGAGAGAGAGAGAGAGAGAGAGAGAGAGAGAGAGAGAGAGAGAGAGAGAGAGAATTTTATATCTGATTGTCAAAGACATGGCTCCTGGAGAGAGATGGAAGGATGGAGGATGGAGAGGGCGTGAGAGGAAGGAGGAGTCGGAAGATGGAGAAATGTTGAACAAAGAGCTTTGTATCAGAGGATAATTGTATGTAAAATAAATCATGGTCTCTCTCTCTCTCTCTCTCTCTCTCTCACACACACACACTCACACAGACACGCACACACACGCACGCACACACACACACACACACACACACACACACACGCGCGCACACACACACAGACACGCGTTCACACACACACACAGACACGCACGCACGCACGCACACAGACACGCACGCACACACACACAGACACGCACGCACACACACACGCACGCACGCACACACACACACACTGCTGATTGGAACCATATGCTGACAGAGGGAGAAATGGGAAACTGAATTGTTTGATTTGTTTTTCTTCTTTTTCACATTGGGATGTTGAGTGGGCGAGATAAAGGAGCTGGAATGCACCCATGACTGGAGACGATGATGATCAGCCATGGGAAACTCTTCGTCCGGCGCGCTGCATGGACAGGTCCGCTCCATTAACAGTGTGCAAAAGAGGGGACTTCCACTGTGTGAACTAGGAGTCCTCCTATGGTGATAATAAAACTGACCAATCAAGTTACTCATGTGGTCCCACTTGAACACGATGCACTTGTACTGTTCCCACATTGAAGCAGCTGCTCTGAACGACCAAATCCATCGGATTATTTCTTGAAACCTGTTCCTATCAGCCAACATACATCAGAACTTGTTTATATATTAACACAGTACATGCTAATATGAGAAAGGGAAGTTACACTTGTTATTTATCAGGAATTAATCCATAAAGGGGAATAAAAGGAAACAAGTGGGTGGAAGAGGGGGTGAGGGAGGAGCACAGCTGATCTGCTGCAGATGCTCTCCTCCGCTGGGAAAATCACACAAAGCAGATCTTTTAAGGGAAAGGGGTGTGTTTATTATTTGTGTGTGGTTTTAAAGCCGCGTTCTCCCATTTTTAAAGGTAAGGCTGGCGTCCTGAAAGGGTCGGCCGTTGCTCAACAGTCACTAGTGAGTTTGCACATTTTTCAGTAAAGGAGGTAAATGGTTGGGAAAACTGATAACGCAACAATTTACTGCCAATCGTTGCAACAGAGAAGCTTTTGAACCCTTTTAAAAAACATTTGTTCATTACATTGTTGAAGCATGGATGACTGGGCGTCTTACACAAGTATGGCCTACTTGTGCATAAATGTTATTATGATCAACATTTTTTTCACCAACTTTTTTCAATAGCACTTGTCATCGTCCAGAAGACGAACCAAAAGTGCTGTACGTGCATAAAAGAAGAACTTAAAACAACAAAGAGCCCTGTAAGGGCCCACAAAGATGTACATAAAATCTAATAAATACATGAGATACAAACAAGAGATGTAGACAAAACAACAGGATAGCTCAGTGATCTAAAAATAGAGCTAAAACGCATTCGGAGGAAACGCCGCATTATAAAAGTGAACGTATGACCAGTAAATCGAGAGCTTCACTTTTCGCCTCAGCTCTCTCTTCACCATGGCAGACCGACACAACGCCAGCACCAATCCACCGATCGATCTCACGCTTCATTTTTCCCTCATTCGAGAACAAGACCCCGAGCCTCCTCCACATCCCCGATGTGTCTCGTTCCTGACCTGGAGAAGGCCCTCTATCTATCTATGACTCAAGACCATGGTCTTGGATTTTGAGGAGCTGTTCCTCATTCCAGCTGCTTCACACTCAGCTATGAGCCTACTCAGTGACAGTTGGAGATCACGTTCTGATGAAACCAACAGAACCACATCATCTGCAAATAACCAAGACCTGATCTTTCGGCTGTCAAAATGGATTTCCTCAAAA